GTGAATCTCGGTAATAGTTCGTCTCCAATCCTCAATCGTGCCGTAATGCATGTCGAGGAGGGTGGTATCAACGGGGGAGTAGCCATCGTAGGCCCAAGGAAGGTTCATCAAGTACGTGCCAGCGAAATAAATAGCCTAAAAGGATCAGCTATGTAGTTCAGCCAAAATCAGCCTAACTCACCTTGAAGCCCATGCCCTGGATATAATCCAACGTGTCAATTAAGCCATCTAGATCACCACCGTGACGCATCTGATTCGAGTTTACAACATGCTCAAAGGAAGTCCCGTTGATGTCATCATTTGTCGGGTCCCCGTTGGATATACGATCCAGGAATATGGTATAGATAGGGAATCGCCAGTTGTCTGGTGACGGATGATATTTATGGTCTGGCCATGCTCCCCAATAATCGATTGGACCTTCGGCGGATTTGTTTTCGTTAAGATTGTATTCAGCGAGCGACTCGGTGTATGGCCAGCATAACGCATGGACACTCAGAAACGACAGTATGAGAAATGCTGAGCGTTGCATTTCTGTTGATATATCAGGCCGGAATGCTAGGCACCGGAATTTGCGCGATCCAACCCTTTTGGAACTGCAAAGAAAACAATTCCTCTATGCGCTGAGCAAACGGGAGCTGTAGTTGAAGAAGAGCAAATGAATGGGCTTCAAAAGACATCAAGGATTTTACAACACAGGATGTGAGACACTTACCAGCCAGACAGGCGTATGGGTCGCTGTACTTCACTACTACCGACCCACTCTGGGCCCAGATATCACTGTATCAATCCGTCCCAGGCAGGGTTTTTCCCGCGGTGGGGTGGCGGTGTTTCTCAGTGGTTCGGATTAGCAATATGCATCTCCGACCCTGGTTAGTCCGGTGTGTGTCTCAGACAGACCCAACAGAGTCCTCAACGCTGCCGGGTGATCGGGTCCAGCCGAGAGTGTAAGCCTCAAATTCGTTCGCCATGATAAGCAAACATGCAAATCGAAGTCGATCCCTGTTTGATTACATTGTTCTGTGTCTGTGTGCATGAGATCCAATCAACGAATTTCCCAACACATTTCAGCATAAGGGAACTGTCACGGTGCTGTGTAGATGGAAGTTTTCTGTCTGCTTACAGTACAGGTATGCGAACATCTATTTTTAACAATCTTATCTTATCTCTGGTATCTTTCCGAAGCTTGACCGACTGAAGCCCGCCAGCTCTTTTTATATGTACTTGTATTTCCACGATTGTGCTTCAAATTGTGAGTGAAATCCGGATTTCTTCGTAGCTAAATTTGGCTATGCCAGTATATACATTTCGGGTGAAATACTGTATTGCTTTCTGTTTTGGATGCGTGGAGCTAGTGATCCACCTGTGAAACGAGTTTCACACGGATTTTTGCTGGACGTTTGATGAAGTGGAAGGAGAGCCAGTAAATAGGTGTGGTATTCACTTACTGAGCGTCAGACTCACAGCCTATACAGTACGTGTAGATATTTCATTCGAGCGATCATGATACTCCGTACAAGTACAAGAATTGCGACATTGAAAATAGATCAATCAAGGTGGAACATGTCTGAATCTAAAGAAAGAAAAAAAGAAAAACTCGCTGTAGTGGGACCGAAGGAGCGAATGACATCATATTGTCAAGTATGTTTCACGCTGTAACTTATAACGTTAACGTTAGTTGATACATGTACATGTAACAGGCAACAAATATTAATTCCCTTGAAACTAGCAAATCAAAATCGCTTATAAGTCTAGAAAACTTGCTGATAGTTTGTTGTTATAGGAACAGCGTCGAGTGATTTTTGCCGGTCAATGCTTAGCGTGTGATTCGATACGGTTGGTGGCTTTGACCCAGCGTGGCAGTCTGTGCATTGCTGTCCAAGCATTGATATCGTGGTTGCGGCTTTCCCTGACTTGTATAGCCCGAAGTCCTGGCATCCTGTCTAATTCCTACTGCGAAGGCTGTCCAAGTCCCGATAAGGACCCGACCAGTGAGTGTTTGCCTCCTCAAAAATAAGTTCCTCTCAATGTTTGGCACATGGTCCCTAATCGAGAGACCCCCTATACAAGATCTAGAAGCTCTAGAGGGATAGACGAACTCGTGGTAGGGGGGTGAAAATATATTCTAGAAAGAGCGTAGGGCAGAACTGGACATGACTTTGGCCCATTGCTTCATGGTCAAGTGCGAATTCGATCGAGTCAAAACTCATCGCACACCTTCCCCACGTCATCACTCTTACAGCAGAGGTAAGGACGTCACCCGAGATAACTTTGTTTATCACCGCCTGCTGTTGCATTATGCACAGTTTTGGACGAGCAGAAGAGGGGAGAAGGATGAACTCGCCTCGGGTTAGAAATCTACCTATCAATGACCGCTCAGACATGCATGGTGGCGTACTCTAGTAGTTCGTATTACCGGACAACTCGCAGATAATTATTCAGCCGCCTAATCCTAAAGATCTCATTATTCTTCATAGTTGAACTGGTAACGCGAAGGGGGAGATACGCCGTCAACTGCTGCGAAACTATATATGCATATCAAATCCGTATTGATTTCTTGATAGCATTAAGATACCACTGTACCGGCTTCGTTCAAATAGCTGCAAGCACATGGGATGTCATCGCATTCCGTGGTTAGTGACTATAGCTATAACGCCAAGATGTATAGAGCACGCTAGAAGTCCTCTTAGTGCTGCGTAATACATGCTAGTTTAACGGTCGGATCTTCAAGCTAAATCAATCAACTTAGCATTGTGTTACAAAGATTGCAGAATGTATGTGCATAACGCATTTGGAGAGTATGGCACCACGCTTCATGATGGTTTGCATGAAAGCCATCAAATTATGCTAGGCTTGACGGTTCGTTTCTGCCTCGTGGCTCTTAATTCTCCAAACTTCTTCTACGAATTTGCGCAGTATATGCGTAATATATTAGGCGGTATCCGTAATCCACCGTCCTCTGGGAATATCACGCACGCCGATAAAGCAACTAGGCGAGTCGAACTAAATCTGCCATGGCCGAAGACCGGGAATCGAATTGCAAACACGATTATTGACTCTCGTATGATATCATATCAATAGATGGCCATTAGCTACGGTTCTGTCGGAACCCAGTGTCCAATCTGCACACTTGTGATTCATCCACCTGCCCCAACTACAGCCTATCTTATTGGAGGTATTCAGGTGCTCGTGCTCAAAAACTCGCCATGGCCTATGAAACTCTTCGGGGCGAGCCCCAACTAAACCAGCTCCTATATGGTTCTATCGCAACTCCCTTTAGAGTTCTAATCGCGTTGTATCTGTGTTCACTGTACTCCCCTCCACTGGTGCTCACAGGTGATTGATCCATGACTAAAGATAAGTCTCTGGTCATTTATCCTCCGGTGCTTGCCCCCTTGTTGTCACTTTTGAGATTTACCTGTAAAAACAGTAAGTGTCCCCGGGATGCGCGAAAATCTATCTCCTACCGGACAGCCACACAGGATCAAATGCTACACGTGAGTTGAGCACTAATCTCGCTAGTGAGCCACTTTAGCGGGGCGCGAGGCAATGCGAACTGATATCCACACCTATGTGGCTACTGTCGGTGGTTAAGCGGTTGAGGCTGCCAAGAGACGATTGCTATTAGTACACCAATACCCACCGATCATAAGTACGAAGGTACATGAACATGATGGTCTCGATCTAGCCCCAATTCTAAGATTAGATAGACTTGGAGTACATTTTGAAGATTGGACAGTTTACCCCGTTGACTCCATCTCATTCAAAGTTTGTATATCTGTGCAACATATCTGAGGGACAATGGCATGGTAGACCCGCCGCGTTATGAACAATTTTAGTAAAGTAAATAAAGTGTCCTGCAAGAGGTATAACTGCATCCTAGTTCATGCAGTAAAGGCCAATGAGTTTGAGATCCTGCACAAGTAGTGGAATTACCAATAACACGCTAGCGTGAAGTTGAAGAGACATTGAAATAATAATTTCCAGGCACCAAATACGTAGCTTCGCTCGTTCTGCGTATGTCACTATCGTTTGTCGACCTTCCCAGACGAGTCAGAAAGAAATGGCATTTGCACCACTTCCCCGTCTGCAGTCCGATTTTAAACAGGTGGCCTCAGATCACTAGATCGTTGGTGCTTAATACATCTTTACTGGATGGGTGCGCACTAGTGGTAAGAGCAGAGGACGAGTACGTCGAATCAAAGCACTAGACACAGCTTTATTTGGAAGTTAGATGTTGTCAGTTTCGGAGTTTGCCTCTATTTGATTTATACTTGTCGATCTTCCTTTCGTGTAGATCGAGCTTCCTTCATGTTCATTTGCTCAGAAGCGTAATTTGTCCATTATGTGAATAATCTGGTCATTTCGTGTCTTGTTGGCCTAGGAAATGGATTTGTGGTTTCAACAGTGTCGGAAGTTTACCGGAGTGGGATTAGCACAGCCGATGTCGGACTATTGATGCGAGCAGGTCAATCAAATCGATCAGATAACTCCTATCAATCAGAGGAGTAGATCCTCAAGCTTAATCCTTGATCCCCCGAGACTACTTGTCAGCACTAATTGGTAGTGGCGATGAAGAATTTTCGCCTTGTCCATTTTTATTAGGCACATCTATTGAGCATTGTATCCAATAAACACAAAATGCCGATGGGCAAGGCCGCTGATCTCCAGGAAGGGTTCTGGAGTCGATGTCCACTCAGTTAACCAATTTCTGTCTAGCTCTTCTCTTTAGTCAAGCCATTTTAAGCTTTTCTGATTATATGGTGGGCGATAAAATATCCTTTCGAGGTTTGTCACTCTATAGAAGCAATACAGCAAGGATATACTTACAGGAAGGCATCTCCAGGATCCGTTTGCAAATCGGCATTCCCCTCTTCGGCTGATTCCAAGCTCTAGTATATTTTTTTTGGAGCACTTGCGCCCATCTGTGTCTCCATTTTCTAGGCCTTTTCGTGATTGTTGGTCAGTTATATCCAACGTCGGGTTATGTTAGGATCGACACCATGGCTGTCAGAAAGCGATTCATCAACTCTTTTGCGCACAGGGAGTCTCCCAGTCAATCAGTGGCTACTCACCGTGGCATTGAGGCTTCTCCCAACTCAAAACTTCCCCTGGACGAAACAGGTCCCAACTCGACAGATGAGGAAATTATCAATGAGAAGGCCCAGTCTGATACACAAAAGGCTCAGGCAAGCTCTCAATCATGGACGAGAATACCCTGGATGCAGCCTACATTCTGTCAGTCCACCCTACAGTCAATTAATCACACATTCCCATGGCTAATCGCCTCGTAAGCGTCTAGGTCGTGAACTTCCTCGAGTACTTCAGCTCTGGACTTTCTCAGACCTCTATCACCATATATCTACAAAGGTTTCGAGCTGCATTCTATGATTGGTCTGGCATCTGTGTTTGCTTCGTTGATCTCCGCTCTTGTCAAGTTCCCTTACGCGAAGCTCATGGATATCTGGGGTCAACTCAAGCCTGTGGGGTAGTGGTTGGATTCCTGACACTCGGTCATGACGGCTGCCTGCAAAAGCGTCCCGGCCTATTGTGCTGCGCAGGTATTCTATCAAACAGTTTTCAGTATGACTGATTTATTCATGGCCATCTTCATTGCTGACACCACTGGTTTCTCTCTCTTCCTGCTGGCCTTTAACCTGTACTCTTACCAGACTGAAGAGTGGTGGCCTCCGATTTTCTGCTTCGTTGTCGTTGGCTTTTGTCTCATGATCGCTTTCCCGTTTTGGAAGAGATATTTTGCGACAGTGAAGTTCATGCCCGGGAAGCTGCTTCGAAACAGAACTGTCTTCTCCACCTTCTCCATGTTTGTATCATTGTACCTAGCATGGTATATCTGGGAAACCTTCTTTTATTGTCTCCTGCAGTTTATGTCCAATCAGACTGTCATGGAAGCGACCTACATATCGAACAACTATACTACGGGCTCGTGCTTCTGGTGTCTGATCTTCGGTGCTATCCTTCGCTACAATGGCCGCTTGGAATGGCGAACCATATGTTTGTAGTTCCTCTGACCATTTTGGGAGTTGGATTGATGGCCAAGTCCCGTCAACCTGAATCGAACATTGGCTATACTGTGATGTGTCAGATCTTAGTCGCATTAGGGTGGCACTCTTGTCATCTATTAGCAGATGACTGTTATGGCTGTCTCCGCTCAGAGAAATATACCCGCTATCCTGGTTACCGAGGGTCTGGTTACCACCATTGGCAACGCCTTTGGGGGTACTGTTGCTGTCGCCATGTGGATTGGTATTTTCTTTGTCAAACTGCTAGCACACCTCCCTACATCCACTCCGGCAGACTTTACAAGCACTTATGGCTCCCTTTTCGTTCAACAGTTCTACGCTAGGGAACAACAACCCGTGATGCTATCGACCATGTATATGGTGGCACACAACGTCTCCTGCTCATTACTGCAATCTGCCTTTATCTTGTCACATGAACATCTTGTTTCATCTGGGAGGGTCTTAAATGTGAAGAAGATGAAACAGCAGGTCCATGACATTTGGGGCTCATCTATTCGTTTTGTAACAAGCTGTGAAGCAATGTCGGGTTGCACAGGAATTTATATTAAGCAACGCATCGCTTTTTATTGACAGTCCTTAACTGGGTAGCATAGCGTACCCCTGGTCTAACAGACAGAATTATCGCGTTGTTCGTCATATCGGGGATCCTAATACTCGACTTTGTTGCTGTACAGATATGGCTCTCTCTCATGTTTTTCGTACAGTTTCTCATTGCTGCCATCTTCATCTCTGTCGGCTCGTCGTCATTTCAAAGCTACCTTAGAAAAGATCTACCCGGTGACCGTGGCATTGACCAGACCTAAGTGCCGTCACGGCTACGGACCTCGCACCACCACAGCAAAAGCCTCCACTGCGCCACTGAACACGCCTCGGTCTCAGGCACCACAAACGCTTGTTCTCACTATTTCTACAGTCAAACCTCTTTGTAATAATTCTCGCAAGCGTCCTATTCCACTATAGCCGGGTTTCACTATAGAATAGGACCCATTTCCGGTCACATGATTACGCTAATTCCCAGTTGAGTTAGTAATAGCACATGCCAATTATTATGTCAGCTTTATACTTGTCAGATGCATTTGGACCAATAATAGTGCTTAGGATGGGGTAAAGTGCGGGCCACATTACCTGGTTATAGCGAATTTTCAGGAAATCGTAGGGAACTTCACTAAAGGAAGGATTGCACTGTAAAGATGGGCGCGCTATTGGCAGGTTTGTCTGTACTTTGCGAGTGTACGTATAGTTATCTGTAGTAAAACATGACGTTTGATGGAGTTTGTCCCTGTTGATCGAAAATTTTCTGTTATTTGAGTCACGATACCCTCGAACCAACGCTGAAGTTCTTGGTGCATTGAGCCTCCAATCCATACCTGTTGTCGATTGGAACGCGCATCCAAAGATATGTTCGAGTGCCTTGGCTTGCATCACGGCTTAGATAGCCTAGTGGAGCTGAAGATTCTGTACTCCATTAATGTTACGAAATAGCTTCGTTTCAACATCTGCTGCACAGAAGTTCAACGATAGACGTTTAACTGCTGAGACTTGCTGTAAGAGCAAGAGCGGCTCAGCCATGAGTGTCGATCATTCAGCCTAAGAGATTGCTTCGCCCGCGCTACCTTCCCATATAAGTCCCTTCGACTGCTGACATAGAAATGATCGGCATTTCAGGGGAAGCAAGAAGTCAGATGTTCCAAAGCATCAATAACGAACGCTCTTTGTAACCTCCACTTGCATCAAAACGAAACATGCTGGCACCTGGATTGCACTGCTCTAATGTTCGCAGACTCCTGACTGAAAAACTTTTGGTTTATAAAGAAAAACAAAAGGAAAAGGTTATTTATTTAAATAGGAAAATAAAAAGCTATCTAACAGGAAGAGAGGCGGCGATTAACCACTATCACATGTCGACATAAAATTCAAATATAAGGAAAAAGAAAGGGAATAATAATAATGCGAGTATCAAGACACTCTATAATCCATCAATGGTCGCATGGTCGTTACCTGCTCTCCGTCGCCAGGATGGAACTGAGCCAGATAGCACGGGTGTATATGGGACTCTTTTCGAGCCAAACAATTAATCAGATGCGTGCTTTCCCTCACTCTCTCCACTGCTCAGAGCCATCTCGACCTTCTCGGCTTCAGATGCGAACTGTTGATCGGGAACGGCCAGGCCGACCTCGATCTGCATCTGAGCGATCTGGTCGACAGTGAGCTTGGGCATCTCGTTCGCGACCTGGTAGGGCCACTTCTTCTCAACGTGAGCCTTGGCGAAGATAATGTCAATCTCCTCCAGATCACGGCCGGCAGTCTCAGCGTAGAAGAACCAGGCGAATGGAACGGCGACGAAGTTGACTAGGGCGAAGAAAAGGTAGATACCCCAACCACTCTGGTCGGAGAACACGGGAGTAAACATGACGACCGCGAAGTTGCAAATCCAGTTGGTGCAAGTGGAGGCAGCGGCGGCCATGGTACGAGTGCGGAGAGGGTTGATCTCGGGAGGGTAGATCCAAGGCAAAGGCAGCGTGGTAAACGCGAAGAAGCAGATAAAAAGGAAGATACCAACGACGGCACCCTTAGCGTTCTGCTCGTTGTCCTGGATTAGACAGCCCATGGTGATGATGAAACTGAGACCCTGGCCTATGAAACCGATCAAGAAGAGGTTGCGACGACCAACCCTTTCGACCATAAAGAAAGAGGGAATGGTGGCTAGGGCATAGATAGTGGCGAAAACACCTCCCAGAATTAAAGAGAGACGGTGCTTCATGTGAAGGTTCTGCTCGAAGAGCAGAGTCGAGTAGTAGATAGCAGCGTTACAGCCAGTGAACTGCTGGAAGAACTGACCAGAGCAACCAATCATCATGCGCTGGAATTCCTGGGTCTTGCCGAACTTGAAGAGCTCTCTCCAGCTGGCCTTGTTACCCTCGGAGGCCTTGAGATCGGCTTTCATTAAGTTGAAATCGGTGAGCACATCCTCGGCGTCGATGGTGCTGTCGTTTAGCTGGGCCAAGACCTCCAATGCCTCCTTGTCGTGTCCTCGCATGACAAACCAGCGAGGGGACTCTGGGAGCATCATAGCGCCACCACTGACTAGAATGGCGAACAAGATCTGGAATGCGACGGGGAACCGCCATTGGACGGAGCTGTCGACGTACGAGAGACCGAAGTCAATCCAATAGGCAACAAAGGTACCGACGGCGATAATGGCGCCCTCGAAGCAAACGAGGAAACCACGGTTATGAGCACGAGAACATTCGGACTGCCACACGGGGATCGTGGCCGTGTCCATGCCGTTTCCAAGACCTGAAATGACACGTCCGACGACGAACTGACCTAGACCCCATTGGGGGCCGAAAGCAGCAGTGGAAATGACAGTACCGATAATCATGAGAACACCACCGGACACCAAGAGGGGAGTGCGGCCAATTTTTTCACCCCAAATGAGGGTGAAGATGGCACCGAAGAAACAACCGAGTTCGTAACAAGCGGTGACAGCACCACGGAGGACGGAGACATGAGCAGAGTAGGCCTTATCGTTGGGGTCAGGAATAGCGAGAGGAGGGAATTCCTTTGTGAACTGGTCACCAGAGATAATACCGGACATCAAACCCTGGTCATAACCGAACAGAGAGAATCCAATAACGGAAGTGAAGGTGATGGCCAGATGGAGCTTCTTGCCCCGCAAGCCGGAGGTTGTTGTCCACATCTTGGGTGTTCCTTGTACCTCAACCTAGTAGAAAAGGGAGGAAGGACCGAAACATACAAAAAAAGAAGGAGACCTGTCAATCCTGGGGAGGGGGGGGTGTTCACCCTTTTTGTATTTGAGCGAATAATTAGGGCCCCCACGGGATGCTTAGTGCCAAGCAGAGGAAGTTTGGAGATGACGTCGGCGGGTTAGGCGCTATACAACGTAGTAGGCAAGTCGGGCGAGCCGAGAGGGCTAAGCACAGCTAAGACCCAACCGCCGAGAGGGCCAAGAGGGCTTAGCGGAGCTTTTCCGTTTTGGCCGCCACCAACGTAACATCCCGCATGCGGACAACCATGGGCAGAGTCAGGACAGGAGATTCTGGATTTGGTTCTGAATGGAACATCACTATGTTCCCCTGGCTAGGGTGACTCTGGGTGCCTTGATGCCTGTCAAGTGATTTTCACCTGGGGATAAATGTGGAGGGGAGAAAAGGATCAACATGTCGCTTGCCCTAACCGGAACCACATGCAACCACCACAGACACGGGGAATTACGGGGAGAGCCGGTGGAGTCAGGGTCTGAGTTTTTTCTTTCTCCAGTCGCTATTTGTTCGACGCAGAAAACCCCGTGAAAACTTTTTCCGCTTCGGTTCGGGGCCGGGGCCGCATATTGGCCAACTACAACCAAGTACAATACACTAAATCTCGTTTCAGTTACCTCGCTTCGTTTCAGTTACCTATTTGCCTTTGGCCCGAACCCCATGTCCGATGCCGACGGCCGGGGGCTGACCGGGGTTGGCCTTTGGTTGATTTGGTTGACCAGGGGCGGTAAGTTGAGTCACAAGGTGCCAAGGCCCAATCAAGCAACATATAAGACATGCCAAGGTACCTTAAGCCCCACCAAGGCTACAAAAAAGAACTCACTTGAGAGGGGAGTGATGAGGAGGCGTCGACGGAGGGGGCGTTGGAGGCGTTCAGCCATCCCCGGAATCCTTTCTTTTCCCGCTACGCCACTAGAACTCTCACACACGGTATGTATTATCCACGGGTCGAATCAATGCCACTGATGGTTAATGTATGGTCGAGTTTGATTATCTGTGGGGTTCCCTATAGGCGAAATGAATAAGGTCGGTAAATTAAAAATTGAATAAAAAAAATTAAATAAAAAATGAGAAGCCTCCTACGAAAGGACCAACCCTCGGCAGAGTTGCGGGGAGGTATATCGAGACCTAGGGAGGCACGAGTACATTTATGACGCCCAGTTCGATTTCAAAGTACCGACAAGTCAACATTTCAGACAAAAAGACTATACAGATACAAAGAAAATTCCATGCCTTTACGTAGGCCTACTTCTCATTTACACGTTATTAAAATCCCCGACCCGTCTCAGAATTTCTGCGGAAAAGTATCGTTCCGCGTGTATGTAAGGCCCGGCCGAACCCACATGGCTCTTGAACATCCACATCTCTCTGCTCCAAATTCGGAGAGGATCAACGGGCTGATATTTCCCGACACTTGGGGCCCAATTTATGCGACGTCTGTGGTCCCGAACCGACCGTTCTATAGGTTCCCGCTCTATGGTAATCTTGCGCTTGCCGCCTTGGATTCCGAGGTTGAAAGAGGCTGGAATGCCTTATGCCCTCAATGATGACGCGCAGCTCCTTGGCTTGCGTACCTATCCCTCATCCTGCGTTACCGTCAAGAAGCCGCACTTGGCCCTCATGTTTGCATTGAACTTGCCTTCAAGTCATAGTGCGACGGGCGTGATGGGGCTGAGATAGGCGGATCTTAGTTTGATCTTCCTACATGTAGGAGGTAAACAATCTTCTCCCTTAGACGACATAGGTACTCGTAAAATAAAGCGATGCAAGTTTTGGTTCAGACTAGTCTCGTATCAGCAGTGCAGAAGGCTGCTGCAAAGCCAGTATAGTACGGAGTAGAGTCGCCTGCAGATGGTGGCTACGGTCCGTGGGTTGGGCGTGAGTTGCGAGATCTTCAGTTTGGGCATTGTAAATGCTAGCAACTCTGCACTCTGACTGTGCTACGGGGTACTTCAAAATATCTTGAATTGTCACGTATATGTTTGAGATGGCTCACACCAGTCGCAAAAGATGTTATCTTACCTTAACCTATCAAGGGGCATCACCACAGCAATGCTTGGCTGGCACCTCGAATCAAATCCTCAACAAAGATCTCGACCACGCTGGCAATAAAGACAGCTAGTATAGTCAAATGTTTCCAACACAGCAGAGCTCGCAAATGGCGCGCGATAATTCAATGATCTTTGACATTTGAGCATTGTACTTCGTATTCAAGGAGTTGTACTGACCACAGTTGGACCACCATCTACTTTAAGTTATATGCACTGATGTTCACTCCCAAGCCGGTTCCATGTAGCCTCACTTGCCAGATGAAATTTTAGCATGATAGCTTATTGAGCGTGCGTTATGGTTACAGTACATGAATATTACGCAAATGAAATACGGCGGGTTTCATTATATATATTGCGGAGAAGCAAACGGACTCACGTTATTCAAGGTGAGTACAATGTGCAACGGTGTCTTTGCAAAATTTAATACACAGACTATAGATCGAGCCTGACTCAATGCAATGATCTCTTATAAGTTGGCGAGCATAAGCAATTATGAGGTCTAACGCCACAATGAGCCAGGTCACGTGTAAACTTTCGAGGTGTTGCCTGAGGCACTAAGCTGCAATCAGGCAAGACCTCGAGAGTTTAACCGTTCGACTTGATAATGACCGGTGCATCTTCATATGTCCTGAATTTAATCACCCAGTTATTCTGAATTGCCACCAAATTTGGCCTATAAACCGTCTTGCGTAGTAGGCGAATTGTTAGCTCGGCTACCCTCAATAAGGCGCATAGTTAGAGAAGCATCCAAAGAATACTTGGATTTAGTCAGTATTCATTTCTGAGAGAAGACTCATTGGACAGAACGAGATAACAAATAAGCCTCTAGAAGAGCTGCCGGCATGGATACGCAGTGATTGAGGCTCTTGATTTCACCGATGTGCTTTCAGGCTGATTAGCAAACAGTGCTTCTTTGTTACCTACGCATCTATAATGTATCCTATGAAATAAATCAAGTTGTTGAGAGCTCTTCAAAAAAGGTATCCAGCCCAAACCGGTCTCTCGAAGAGAAAGTTGGTAGTGACCTAACGTTTATCCAGTTTTTGAGACAATCTCGGATTTTTCCAACCAATGCTGTAGAGCTGCTGACGCCAATCTAGAAGACAAATGAGCTGTCTCTCGATTCTCTAGTATGGCAAGCGAGCGTAGACTTGATAGCTGAGAGATCCGTCGCGCAACGTTGGCGATTTAAAGAAAAAAATGGTCAAAAGTTTTTGCACCGTTTGCAGCCAAATTTCTGAATTCTGTTGAGATAAAGCATTCTAAGTCGAGTCAAATCCAAGAGACGTAGTATTTGCTACTCTCCTAAAATATCTGCAGCGGATAGCCAGCCCTGGAAGCCGCGCATGCTGACGTTAGATCTTCTATTTCGGTCGGCTAGCACTGCTTTGGCTACAACAAGTGTGGAGTGTCGCGCAGTGCCAAGAAGAAACAGCTTTCTAGGTGAAAAACATCTACACCATGTCTCGGACCCTGCCGTGCCATACACGTTCCAATTGGCTATGTGTTGAGAAAAGTAGCCGAACCGCATAGTTAGCGTGCTTACTTGCATGTTTCTACTCCACAGTGAGAGCGAGGTTGCAGTTCTCATTTTTTCGTCAAGTTCTAGCTTCCTCTCAATAGATGTATAAAATTTGTACGGAATCCACACGAAAATGGCAACCAGCTTGCTCTATTATTTTTACACTTCTCACTGTATATTCTTATCCATAGACAACATGGCAACCCGTGTTCTGGTGATGGCCCTTCTGGCAGTTTCCGCATATGCCTCGCCTTCAGAACTTCGTCCTCACTCTGTCACTCCACCTGAAGGGTGTCCTATTCCTACGTGGCAGGTCAATGAGTTCCAGTGGTACAACGGCTCACACAGCCTGGACTGCATCCATAATCAGGTCGACATCAACACCAAGGGTTGCCTCTGTGGACATGGCTGGTGTGAACCTGATCCGGCCACTTGCAATGGAACCATGGTGAATGTGTGCTGGACCGGAATGCCAAACTATGAGCCCTGGGGGTACGGTCCGCTGGAAACGCTGGATATAGACTTTGCAGACGGCCTCAATTGTCACGACGAGTACATTGGATATCGCATTCATGACATCGGTAATGGCGCAAGTAATTGCGGATATGCAGATCGCGGTGCTGGGCGGATTGTGGCCTTCTACGGATCGTCCAATCTGGAATCTTCAACCGGTCATATCGATTATACTCTCGGAGATGGACATGCGCTGAAGTGTGACAATGGAAGTAGCATCACCTACTCTGGCAGTACGGATTTCCAACTCAGTTGCACGCATGACGCCTACTTCAACGCCACTTGCACAGCACCAGTGTTTGAAATCCCAGTCTTGAATTACAAATGGGTCGTGTGATGTTGTCAATTGAGCCGAACCCTGTTTTATCAAAATCCAAAAACCTGAGATCCTCATAGTGGCGATGATATACGTCGCTGCATGGGAAAGACCACCAAAATGTATCTATCAAGCGCTATTATGTTGGTCTGATCCTGAATAAATGAATTTGGCAGAATTAAACGAACATTCAAACCGCCTTTCTTGATAGCCAGCGAAAGCTGAGACATCTGCTACGTGTGTTGGAAGCTTCCACCGAAGATGATGACGCGGGCATATCAAATTCCTCCGGCCACCCTGTGTTTCTGCTGCCCCACAGTGCACAGGCCTAATTAATGAGTGCTGGCGACGTAGCTTAACGCTTGAAGATCCTGAGCTCAACCATTCTCAGAATCAGGTAGGACACAGCAGCGAACGCAAACCCAAGCTCGAAGCCAACGTCGCCGCCAGTAGGGGCTAAGCCCGCTTGCTTGGCGATCGGGCCAACCCACCAGGACTGACTCATTCCAGTCACCATTCCGACGATTCCACAGCAGAATGCAAGCAAGGCAGCGATCCCAGGTGGCAGTTTGTCACGATTGTCGTAGTCTTCGGGTTGATAACCGGAAAATCCTCGCCTGAACACGAAATGCTCAGTCAACGCAATCCCCTCGTAAATCGCCAGCCAATACCCGATGAAGTGCATGAAGTTTTCTAATACGGCTTCAAAATTGCTATAGCCTGGGATTGCAATGGCGATATAAACCCCAGTGGCAAAGACCGTCCAGACAAACCGGGGAACATGGCGAGTCCATCGTCCCATGACCATCAAAGTCAATGAGACCGAATAGATATTGGGACAATTGTTAGCGACAATAGAAAGCGCAAGAACGACAACACAGAATTTTCCAAATCCTCCAACCCGTGGGAATAGAACAGCACCGAGCAGGCCCCCGACCCCAGCCTCATCATATCCCTGTTGGTATGCATTATCTCCGCCATTAAGAGCGGTACTTGTGACTATTGCAGCGCCGAGCAGTTCCGTGAAAAGCAAGGTTGGGAAAATACCCAGCCAGGTGGCGAGAAAGACCTTACGCCGAGGACGATTGCTTGGCTGATAGACCGTGTAGTCTGCTGCGAAACTTGTATACCCGGTGCCGAAGCCGAAGACAGTGGATCCGTAAGAGAGCACTGATCCCAATTCTGCACGACCAACGCCCATTGGGATGTTGATAAAATCTCCGGAATGAGCAAATACACCAAGAACAACCAGGAAAACAATAAATGTCGGAATCCAGCTCCAGTATTCATACGCATGCACCACCCGATAGCCGAAGAAGACAACAAGCTGGGTGCAGAATGCGATAATCAATATTCCGGCGTACCCAGGGACGCTGGGATTCACAGCATTGATTAGTTGCGCTCCGACGATGATGTTCGCAGCTGCCCAGCCGATGCATGCTAGAACATTGAATATGGCGACTATCAAGGTATCGACTGTTAATTTAGTAAGAAGAACACGATTTGAGACTCACTCAGCTTCACGCCCCACCAGCCAAACCAGAATCGCGATAAAACCATCTGTCGCAGTCCAAAAGCAGGACCAAATGCGGAGAAAAAGCAGACAGTCATGACTGCGATCATGTTGAAGAATATTATCACTAATGCTGAATCCACAAAGCCCATGGCAAACAGTGGTTTTCCCAGAACCCCAATGGTAAATGAAGGTACGACCATGTTGGCAGCAAGCCACTAGGATTATTCAACGGATTAGAGAGATCTCGCACGGTGCTTAGGATCAAAGTACCATGGAACCAATATTCCAATAAGAATTGTCCGTTCTTTCATCCTCCGGGACGCGTTCGATGCCTCGTTGTTCAACGTTAATCTTACCACCGAGTCGTTGAAGCTTGGCATAGAGAGAGTCGCCATATTCAAAGCTAGTGGCAGGGACAGCGCCCGTCTCATCTTCAAATAGTGCTGGTGCCGCGGCCCCAGCTCGTTTCTCGACGTCGGCATTCAGTATTCGACTCATGATGTTCACATGGAGACCGACTTCTGGGCGCCAGCTTTCAGGAGATGAGCTTTTTAATAGTGATTTCCCCAGGAAAGTGGATTGACCCACACGGGGGACTCCGATCCACTACCCCAGACGCTTTGTCCAACTCGGCCTGGGCTTCCAGATAAAGGTTACCAACAACAATAATCGGAGGCAGGGTTGTTCGATCGGGGCTTTTAATCTGGTAAAACACTGAAGCGAGCAGTGTGCTCGTATAGCGGCCAAATTATGCCGAGGTAGGCCTGGAAGAACCTTCCACTCTAGTGTTCCGGTCGTCGTTAGGTCAATTCAAGGTTTTATACTATGCTAGTTCGGACTGGTACAGCCGGATCTCCACCGTGCGGCGTCACGGACAGGACGGAGACCCGGGAATGCGAGCGGGGTTGGGTATTGGCACGGAGGGTGCCGAGACTCAAAGCCAGTGTATCTGAAAAGTGAGGATTTGAACTGAAAACTGTTTTCTGCATCGTAAGATTGACGGTGAATTCGGCTAGCGGCGTCGGCCGCTAACGTATGAGATTTACAGGATGCATAGAGCGAATGTGATTGGGCGATTGCTTGAAAGAATGACTTAATAAGGTCAGGTCCCCCAGGGATTCTTGAATCTTCTCAACAACACCTACGCGCCATGGCGAGCCCCATTGAACTACCTCTGGTGGACATCTCCAACTCGCATGATGTGGTCGCCGGGAAGAAACTGCTCGATGCGGCTGCGAAACATGGATTTCTGTATATCGACAGCAACAGCACGCTGCTCACCACGTCGGATGTTGACCGGATCTTTGACCTGGTACGCGAATACTCCTTGCGTCTACTACCGAGGTATCCACTGGTGTGAATGTGTAGCTCACTTTTACCAGTCACAGGAATTCTTTCAACTCTCTCCCGCCGAAAAAGCGCCTTATCGCAGAGGAAATGACGTCAGATCTGCCTTTCAGTCGCTAGGATTCACATGACTGACCCTTGTTTAGAATCGAGGTTGGGTTGGAATGCATGTAGAGACACTGGACCCTGAACATCACGATGTGATCCTGCCGCATTCCTTCTAGCTTCCAGGCACTATGACTAACATTTCTTAGAGAGGAGATTTCAAAGAGTGAGTTCTCTTCCAGCATGCGACGAGAAATTATCTGATAGCCCCGTCGAGCGATGAATATTGGGGAATTTCAGGAGGGAAACCTCCAACAGCCACTCCCCCCGTGTTTAATCTCAAGAGAGTCGGAGATCGCTCGATTCACTGATCTCTGCAATACCACCTGCAGTCACATCTTGAGACTTCTTGCCCTTGGGTTAGAGGTATATCTTACTCAGTTCTTCCCCTGCTCGGACAGAGTGATTAATCCGACCTAGATCGACGAGGAGTTTTTCACCTCCCGCCATGATCAATCAAGGGGTACCACGGGGAACTCTCTTCGATGGCTCTATTACCCAGCTGCCGTTTCATCATATCGGCCAGGGAAAGACATCCGAGCGGGGGCTCATTCTGATTATGGAAGTATCACCTTGTTATTTCAACGTCCCGGACAGCCAGGGCTTGAGATTCTCACTTCAAACAATGAATGGGCACCAGTTCCAGTATACCCTGATGGCCCAACAGACTTTCCATTTCCACCAATCCTCGTGAACATTGGCGACATGTTAAGCTATTGGACAGACGGCTTGCTCAAATCAACAGTCCATCGAGTCGTGTTTCCCAAACAAGACCAATCAGATCATACCTCCAAAGCGCACGATCGCTACAGTATCGCCTTCTTTTGTCAACCAGTGAGTGAAACAGAGCTCATTCCCGTACCAAGCGAAATCGTCTCTCTTCATCGGAAAGAACAAAAAATTGACCAGGAGGCTGGGAGAATGGTTGGCCATGGGGGAGGTGCCCGTGGTTGGAACGCCGGCCAGCCTTGTATAACAGCAGGACAGCATTTGCAGTCCCGTTTGGCGGCAACGTACGTATAATAACGCAGAACGGTGAATTTTTGCGTTGTTATGCTGTTCCACATTATCCTCATGATGTTTAACCAAAGTTCCTTCTATAAAGACCAAGTGTATCTATGCTGGCGTTCCGCCCTGGGTAGTGGCTAATGCGGACTATCCTCTTTCTGGTCAAAGTGCTCCCTGGCCCACGGGCTACGCAGGCGGATGGCTCTTCCCTTATAGAAGAAGATGAATGGGATTGGTACCAGAAGAATGGAAACAAATCCCAACAGGCTGGAAGCCCATTCGTAGTCCAACTTCTCATACATCTGGGTCGCAAACAAGGGGAATCCAGCACCAACAACGTTGCGCACCAAGATCACGCCCGCAAGAGCCGAGGCTGAATATGTCTGGTAGCTGTCGACAACATAGTTCAAAATGCTGAGGATCACAATATAAATACCAGCTCCGAAAAATGAGGATGCAATGATTGGAACGATCCAATGAACTGATCGATAGCTTGTCCAGCCGAACCAGAACAAGCTAATAGGAATCAAGATTGCACCCAAGCGTGCCATCCACATGCGTGCCTCGGGAACACCTTTGCCTCCGTTCTCCGCGACACGGCGCAAGTAGTATCGCTCCTGAAGCGGATAGAAACAGAAGGCAATCAGAGGGCCAATGGCCATTCCCAAGAAGGCCAGGCCCTGCTGACCGGTGTTGAATGGATGTCCTTTCGGCTCGCCGAAAACAAGGGGAATCGCTTCGTTGAACAGATAGACCAGGCCGTATAAGAAGCCGTTGTAAATCGCAGAGAATAACGTGATCGGCTCTGAAAAAAGGAAACGGAACGGGCGCGTAAGTGTGATCGCAAATAGTTCGTGCAGACCCTTCCTGCTGCTCGCATGAAAGTCCGTAGTCGATTCTGCGGAGCGGAGGTTCTCCTTCTTCATTTGCTTGCGCGCACGCTTAGCCTTGTTCTCAAGCACGGTGGTGTGGCGTGTTTCAGGGATTGTGGTCAATAAAACAACCCAGACGCCACCAGTCATGGCCATCAACACCCAAAAGATCCATCGCCAGCCCAGGTTAAGCCCGATGTACCCAGTGACAACCAGTGCCATAGGAGGTCCAAAGGTACTGCTCAGCCCGTAGACGGCCATTGGGCCTCCGCTCTCGTTCCGCTCCCACAAGTCACTGATACTGCCTCCAGTGTTTGTCAAAGGCGCACCACCGGCACATCCAGCGATAAACCGACACACCAATATGGTGCCAATGTTCGGGGCCAAAGCGAGAGGAAGTTGGAAGATGAATAAACAGAACCAAGACACCACATACACAGGTTGACGTCCAAAGTATTCCGAGAGTGGCGCGAGAAGCACAGGGCCGATGGCATAGCCTAGGACATAGAGAGACAGGCATAAAGTAGTGACCTCAGCTGAAACACCAAACTCCTCTTGTATACCCGTGGCGCCCGAAGAGATACCTCCCGCACACCATGTTCTAGATCAGCCATGTTAGATGGACATCGGAATGAACAAGGATTGCATGACGACGTACGTGAAAACGTTGAGCATGCTGACCACGATGGTGATATACCACTTGCGCCATTTCGGCCAGTTGCGAGGGTTGTCGAGGTCGTTCGAACCGTAGGCAATGATAATCGGTAGAGCGTCATTGGGATTACTGCGTGCCTTGGCCAGAGCTTGATCTTCAGACAAGACTAATGTTGAGTTTTCGCGGCGGGAGTCTGTGACCTTCTCCACATCATGGAGCTCAGGTCGCGTGTCTTCCTCCGAAATCATAGTTCTGGATTCTGGGAAGGGAGAAATGGGACTGAGATGCGCAAGGAATGCAGCATTTAAAGGGGGGAAATATGGGGCTGCGAGCCAAAGACCGAAGCTCTCCAACGTTCTCCATGCTAACCCCAGTTACCGAGACAGGAAAAGGTTGCCACACCGTTCGGGTTCGGCGTGCCGAAAAGAAGCATCATTGGCAAATGCTTGGCTATACTTGACTCCACGGTGACTCCACTTGGATTATCTTTTGCCCTCTCGGTGTGGACATTAGTAATTATTGCCTTGTTTCTGTGTGGCAATCATTGTGTGTATCTTTATCTTCACCTCTGTCCGGAGAGTAACGAAAATATGCAGGCATGATGCCGAGTCGCAAATACGAGTATAAACCTTCAGCCTTTGGGACTGGATAATTCAGAACCTGAGTCATATCCTACACTTACCATACGCGTCATCGTGTCTATTTTATCGCCTAAATGGCCGGCAAAACAGGAAAATCTCCAGCTAAAACGCCCCAAGAGTGGATGTTCTCCGCATATTAGGCTGAGGCCCCAGGTGCGCGATTTTTTGTTCCAATTCTGCACTAGTACTGTACATGTACAAAAGTTGATAAGTTCTTAGTAGATAGCCAGGGCAAAATCGATTGTCCACGAGGGACGAAGCTGGCGTTTGTGAATCATCTAGTGCTCATCTACGATCTCAGCTCGATGGTTTCTGTCTTTCCAAATAAATATATACATGCACCGATATGTGACGTGCTGTAGCACATATGTCATTTGTTCAATATCGCGTCTTCTATAATCCTAGATAATCAAGTGTGAATGGTTATATCTGCATTTCAAGACCTGAATGTCTGCTAATGCCAGAGAACAATCGAACTGAGCCTCCATTCATGGACCGGAATATCATTACTCCGGGACCGACGTCATTCCCCTTCGACTTGAACTTCGACTTAACATCTTTCCTGCCCGGTCCGGATAGTGACTCCATTTAGATGCACCTCCATTTGCAATCCCATGCGATGTCATTCAATACTTCAATATGGCTTCATTTAACCCTACGATACACCGAGATAATAACGCAATCGGCGCGATCCGATGACCCTATACCCAAGTCCAACCCCGATCGACAGGAACGTGTGCCGCTCGATGCTAGATGATGTCATATTGGTGTCTAGAGCCATGATATGGACTGGAAAGCGTGCTAGCATCTCGACAGCCCCCGTCCACCAGAGACATCGGACAAACCTACCAACCGGCCACGCCTCGACCGGTAACAGTCGTGCCACCCACAACAACCCTACGAGGCTCGAGATCATTGGAAATCGAAAATCCATGAGACAAGTCAACGATATCCAGATTCTCCGCGAGCAGCTGCAGCGTGTCCCCGTTTCTCGGTGACAAGCACAAGCCCCCGCTGTCAGGCCTAATCCCCTGCTCTAGGCCCTATCGACGACGCGAATGCTCGCAAGACAACCCCGACCCCATCCTAACCTACCGCTGAGTTGGGGTCGAGGTCGTCTTGGGAGCCCTCGCGTCGTCGATATAAGCGGCAGTAACTAGGAACTGGCCTCGATGATTCATTTCGTTTCCGTCATTCACGCACGCCATGACGAGTGATTAGGGTCAATTGCTACTCAATTGAATTTTGTTCAGAACTGAGTAACCCAAGTACCGGCTCCGTATCGTGAAGATCATGAAGGCTCATACAATTGTGCTAGCTGTCCAGGGAACCTTCCTAGCGTTTTGGATATCGACCATTTTCAACCTGGATCATTCTCAGCCCAAGCGATTTTAGCATAGGTAATATCACAGTAGCATTCAAAATCACTGGAAGGGCCGATCTCCGCCACCCAATTCAGGTTAGGATATACTAGGGACCTTGGGAATAAAACGGTAGACGATCAACTAAAAAAAGCCCAGGTAGAGTCAGTTTAGGAATATCACTCAAAAAGCCGACGATTAACGGACGGTATCTAGCACTGCCGATGCCTTTCCGTAATATTCAGGAATAGCAAATGGTCGACCTCCTTGCAATACCAGAATGGTTGGTTTTTCAAGGGCAAACATTGCATCAGCAAGGGCACCTGCAGATGTTAGGAAAAATAGTTTAGGAGTATCAGGTGGCATTAGGGGAAGAGATACTCTGGTTTGGAGATAGTCCAAGGGTTGCTCGGTCGCCTGATTCACCGTTACTGTTCCAATTAGCAGCAACTGCGAGGCTGAGGACCACATTAAATGCCAAAAATTGGGCGGAATAACGAGTTTTGTGAGAACTATTACGAACTGTTTCAAAAATTCGTTTGAGAATTTGTGCAATCCTCTGATTTGCTCGAACCTACGAACTCCATATAATTTTGACTGGTACTCAAGCCGAGTCTCGTGAACTGACAACCAATGCCTCACCGTACAGGCTAACGTCATAGCCGTTTTGTTCCAGATACTCCTTGAAGCGAGCATCCTCTGTTTCCAGCGCGCGAGACATATCCGGAATCAACAACCAGGCAATAAGACCGCCAACCACTGTGAAGGCGGCTCCAATCAAAAACACCGCCTGTTGGCCCTTTTCAGTGGATTCAAACGAGTTCTGGATTGGGGTGAAGACCTCAGTTCCAATGGAGGCCCCCGCCTTCCCAACTGCTGCGGCAAAGCCAAGGAAATGGCCACGCAGCGGTGTTGGGAAGGATTCAGAAGCGCAAAGAAATGTTGAGACACCAGGACCCATCTCTCCGAGGGCCTGGAAGATGCCGTACATCACCACGAATAAGGGAAATACACTCTGAATCTGATGCAGCGCGCCTCCAATAATAAAGCCCCATACTGCCCAGAGCATGAATCCCAATGTCATAGTCTGCTTGCGGCCGATGCGATCCATGAGTAGCCCACCAAGCAAGCAACCAGGTAGATAGAAGCAATTGATGACCGTCTGATTATCGTTAATTAGATTGAACAGAAATCAGCTTTGCACGTGGTCCGCACTTACTCCGTATCCAATATTTTGCACCGTGGTGTTGTTAGGATTAAGTTGTTCAATGATTGTTGACGAGAACAAACCAAAGGGATAAGTCACGAAGTCGTAGCAGAACCAGGCCAAAGCTGTTTTTTTTTTTTCGGGTAAGAGTCCATAACAATCTGAAGTTTGCTAATACTTACATGTTCCAAGCATAGGCTTCCAGTAACGACGCAATACCAGCATATATGGATACTGTGATTTGATGGCGTGTTTCCGATATTGCGTGGAGTTGACCATCCGAACACGGAAAAAACAGATGGAAATTGGCAACTGTTTCGAAGTTAGGAAGATCAGACTCCAATTTCAAGAGATCGAAAACAACTTACTACAATGCCCAACCCGAAGGTGATTCGCCAGACGCTTTCTGAATCCTGCTGTTTATAACAAGCCAGCACAATCAGGGCGACCAGACCTGCCGCGACGAATCCCTGTCGCAGACTTTAGCAATGTTACTGGCAGGGGTTGGCAATACAAACCAGATCAACCGCAAAATCCGTCGTCGCAGCCACGAGAAAGCCGCGCCGTTTCCGGAGTTTAGCTGTTTCATCAGCAGCCTCGGTGGCACTGGTTGCACAGACTGGATACTCTCCGCCAGCTCCAAACCCAGCAATACCTCGTGCTACAATCATCATCCAAAACATGCTTCAGATGGTGTCAGCAATCTCGGTCCTTCTGGTGTCTTTCCAATCATAAACGAGAGGCATTAGCTTACCCCAGCTGTGTGCTTCCGTGAGATGCGGTAGCCAAGACCACTCCTAGAATGAGGAAAGCTGTAGCGGCAATGACACCAGTCCGACGGCCGATACGGTCGATCAAGACACCAAAAAAGAGCATCCCGAAAATCTCCCCGATTAGGTAGGAGTTGGAAAGGCGGGACTTGATGATTGAAGACATGCCATTTAGGTAGCTGGAAACATTTATCAGTGAATTGGGCCAGATATAGAAAACATCAAGCCTCCTTACAGCACCGAGAACAACGGTTCCATGTAGCCAACTAGAACAGGGTTAAAAGAAAATAATACAAAATCAGGGGCAAAAACTACTGATTTGGGCATTGTATCCATCACTGAATAATGCTAGCCCCGACACAACCACGTTCAGTACACCTGAGCTCTTCCGCTTGGTTTCGCTTTGCTGAACGTCGTGGTCTTCCGAGTGAGACTCTTGCGCCTTTGAGTGATTCTTCACAGGGACGTCGGTAAATGTAGCCATAGCGTCGCTCATATTGCCAGAAGGAAGAACGGAGAGGAATAGAGAAAGACGAAGACCAGGGGCACTTATCTATATAAGAATATGCTGTGAGTTGTGGTACATATTGCCAAAGTCCAATAGCAATCTGATATTGATGCACGGGAGGCTTCAATGTTACGCCGGGATGAAGCGCGAAATGTCAAGCTCCATAGGGCCAAGCTCAAGTGCATACAATAGCATTCCCGTACTTCACGCATAAATCCACAATGGTAGGGCTCCGCCCCCACCACAGCTTGGCGCGTCGCTCCCACGCTTGGACCTGAGCGCCAAGCCTATAGGAGCTTATCTTTTTCCCATGTGGCCTAGTAAATCTGTCGGCCTCCGACCCGTCAGATTGAGACTTGCCTGTTTAGTCTTTATCTCGGTGTGAAGTGCGAGACCTCGTGTTCTCTGCATGAACGTGCACTCGGTCCTGTATAAAACGTGGTTCAAGAGCCTCATTTGATTCTCGCCTCCGTTGTGATTAACGGAATTTATTTCCCTATTATGGAAAATGCTCACTATTCTCTCTCTGCGGAGCAACTCTCCGGTTTCCAGGAGCGTGGATACTTGTTGTTCGACAATTTCTTACTCCTGGGGAATCGGAGTTGCTGCATCAATGGGCACAGGAGGTTCACGATCTTCCTTGCACCCCGATACACCGTGGATGCCCTATGAAGAGGTTAATTCTGATGGTAAGCGGGTGCTTTGTCGTACGGAGAACTTTGCAAACTCCCATGCAGGATTCGACGGTCTCCTACGGGGTCAGCGTGTTATGAGTGTCCTGCAACAGCTCGCCGGGGAAGAAATGCTCCTCTTCAAAGAGAAAATCAATTACAAGCTGGCCGGAAGTGGTAAGCGCTTTTATAATTCCACATTTAGCTTCGATCTCTGATATTATTTGCAGGCGGATTTGACCCTCATATCGATGCCAATGCTTACACCCACGTCAAGGACATCAATCATTTGACAATCCTGACTGCCGTCGACGGAATGAACTCAGCCAATGGAGGTCTGGAGGTAGTTGATGGAAGTCATCGTATGGACATCCCTCTCGGTAGTGACCGGTGCATCGAACCCACCTGGGTGAAAATGAACACCTGGACACCGGCCGAGCTTGAGTCTGGTAGATACATTTCATCCAACCTTGGCCGTACTTATGCTGATAAAGACAGGCGATATTTTGATCTTTGGCTCATACCTGGCGCATAGAAGCGGTGCGAATACTAGCCCCAAGAACCGCCGAGCGATTTACGCAACGTACAACTGCGCCACCGAGGGAAGTCTGCATGATCAGTACTATTTAGACCGTCAGAAGCTTTGGCCGGCAACTCACATGCGAAAAGAGGGAGATCCTACGAAGAAGGCCGGGTTCGCTATGCTTTCGGTTCTCTCATGTTGACAGTGGACTCCAAGGCTATTCCTGCCTAGAGGTGTACTTTAGCTTCACCTTGTAAAATAGACAGCAGGCGATTCAAAGCATACTGCGTGGTCTGAATAATTTATGTAAACGGAAGAAAAAGCAAAGAAAAAAAAAAAAAACAAAACAAATGATGAAATGAAAAAGACGCATAATCCTGCCTTCTTGCCGATCAAACCAGGCTTGGTGTGGGCCATCGGCAGGAGGTCCGCAGGTTGCAATCGCCATAGAAAGGAATATAAGACTTTGGAGGGCTTAGCGCATGGGCGTACCCTTTGCAGAGACAATGGATTGACGGAGGAGTTCTATCGCATATAAAATCCTTCCCAATCCCCACCTGAATTCTTTCCTTCTTTCTGTACTGATTCCAGTTTCTTCTTTGGTCGCATACCTTTCTTGCCATGGCACAAGAATTCCAACAAAAGGCAGACGCGCTTGTTGGAGCACTGGAGAAGTATGGCCAAGGTGACTACATCGGGGAATCCATTAGCCAACTTGAACATTGTCTGCAGGCAGCACATCAGGCACAGAAAGCTAGTGAGTGACGTTCGCGAGGCACCGAGAAATTGGGCTAACTCTCTTTTCAGGAGCCCGAGATGAGCTGGTAATTGCCGCTTTATTGCACGACATTGGTCAGATTATCCCCTTGGAAACAACCAAGGAGGTGCGCATGAACCTCCGCGGGAGCACGGAGAATGTCGGCCGGGTCGGCCACGAAGCTATTGGGGCTGCATACCTCCGGTCGCTTGGATTCAGCGAGGCCGTGTGCCGATTAGTGAATAGCCATGTTGCGGCCAAGCGGTAGGTGTTTCTCTATGCCTACTCTCAAGCCCAGGCTCATTTCGCACAGGTACCTCACTGCAGTTGACCCGGCGTACTATGACTCTTTGTCCTCGGCGTCTCAGAGATCGCTGGCGTTTCAGGGTGGTCCTTTTATAGGCGGCGATCTGAGAAAATTTGAGGAAGATTCGTTGCGAGACGAGATGGTTTCTCTTCGATTGTGGGATGATGCCGCGAAACTAGAGGGGATTGAGGCCACAACGCCGCGTGCAACGGCATATTTGGAGATGATAGTTGCGCATTTGGAAAAACAAGAGAACATGAAGAGTAGATAGGGTTATTTTGAAGATATTAAGAGTAAGTAAGATATTCAGCAAATACATGATAGGAGAGTTGGAGATGACGGGAATCTGCCGCACATCCCCTCTCCCTCTCCCTCTTCTTCTTCTCCCTGCAATGCCGTCTACCGCCAGACTGAGAACCCAAACCGGATGCTTTCAATGTGAGACTAGAATCTAATAATTGCAGACTCATAGCTGAGACAAACAGGTCGAAACCGCCGCAAGAAATGTGACGAGACGCGACCGCGCTGTTTGGGCTGCACTCGGAATGATCTCGGGTGCAAGTGGCCGTCAGGGGAGCCTCCCGATAGAAGAAGACGCATGCGACATCGCCAATCTCCCAAATCTCTGGACTCTGTGGATGTCTCTCTCGATTCAGAGCTGTCGTTGACACTAACGCCGCCTATTGCGATGCCATCTCCCTTTCAACATGAGGAGCACTCTTATCTTTACCGATACTTCGCGTCGACAGTTCTCTCACGCCTCGTTCGTCAAAGTTCACTTTCACATTACTCAGATCAATCTTACATGCTCCGCTTAGCACTGGAGTTTCCTCCCTTGATGGGCGCCATGATCTCTATCGCCGGTATGCAGTTAGCTCCGGCTCCCCGCTGGTCAATCTCTTGCGCAGTGCGAAGTTATGTCCAGACGATCGCTGGTCTACGAAGAATGCTCGAAAATGCTGAAGATATAGGCTCTGATGATGCGCTCTTAGCGACTGTGATTTCCCTCTCGGTATTTGAGGCATGTTTCGTTCATTTCTGCATGTTTACCATGACGGGCCTGGGTTGTTACTAACCAGAGAATAGACGTCGCGACTTGATTCATCACCAAACACCGCACCTCATATTACGGCGTCGGGCATAATTTTAGCTCAGCGCCGCCCTAGGATGGCCTGCCCCCAGACAGCGGTGTTTGACCGGATCTGCATTGAATCATTCGTATATCATGCATCACTAATGATGTTGTTTGATCCATCACTTGATGCGCTATCTAGCATCCGACAGCAGCTGGATTTACCGCAACATTTCTTGAATTTCGGGCAGGGTGATTCTGCAGCATGGGAATTTGGCATTTCTACACAACCAATCCTTTACGCGCCCTACAAATTCTTCTTACTGATCGCCGACATCACAAAGCTTGCACGTGTCTCTCGTGTATTAGATGATCCGGAAATTTCAACCTGGACAAGGATTCAGCAGGAACTGTGCGATTGGCCCCGTGTTCTTGACACAGAAGACGAACTACTGGCAGCATTATACGCTTTCTCGGTTCAGATTTTACTGCTGAAATCAAATCCAAATATAACATATGACGAGAAAAGTCGACAAGCAGAAGTTTACCTAGAAGCCGGGTTGAAGCATGTCCCCTTCCTTAATCTAGATCACCATTTCCCGAGCTATCTATTATGGCCACTGGCTATCTTGGGCTCCGCTTGCACTACTTTCGAGGAACGAAAAATGATTCAGACTTGCATTTCTTTAATCTCGATCCAAAAGCCGGGCGGTCATGCAAGCTGGGTGCATAGGCGACTGAGAAAGATATGGTCCGTCGTCAACAAAACGAACGAGAATGACCCAACGAAGCGCAGGCTTTTGGGCCTGCAGGCACTACTCGATGGGGACAATGAAGATGATTAGGCTATGAATCAAGTCCAAAGCCTTTCCGTCTGTGCTGTTGGGAAAATAATATTCTAGAACTATCACTGTTCTATGAAAGACCAAATGGCCTTAAGCATACATCTCCTTACTGGAAAGCCCGCTCAATCGCAGAAACCGCATGTGCCAGACTCTCGTCCTTCAATCGTCTGCCAATGATTTGAACATGACAGGGGGCACCTTCTATCACTTGAGGCTGATCTATAAACTGTCAGCTGTGAGTCACTTGCAACGAAGGGGTGTTTCCATACAAGGTGGCACATAATCAACTTCCCGGATAAATGCTTTGTCGGCAGCTTCGTTTGCACTGCCGATCGGAAGCACACACGCCGGATACTTCGAATTGTCAGTGAAAGATCGATAGACATGGATGTGACAACCTACGTCGACAAGATTTGCCAGTACTGTGTACATTGGCAACCCGTATGCGTCGTGTGCGACTGCGCAGCTCTGATACCCAGGACCTAGAATGACATCCAATTGATTTTCCACAAACAGCTCTCGCATTTGCGCCGTGATCTCATTCCTGGCGACATTCAGCTCAAAAAGCTTGCGGAGATCCGGCTCAGGGCCTGTCCCATCCAGATTATATGTGAAATGGAGGGAGGGGATTGGGGGTTCGCCACCTCGTGCAATGTGACCAAGGGGAGTTCGATCAGGATCCATTGAGAAGTATTCCCACGACACCTCACACGCTTTAGATACAAACGTCATCTTCTTGGTCAAGTCTACCATTCGGTGTCCGGCTGCAGTCAGGCTGTGCACTGCATCCGCCAAGACACGCTTCATAGGAGGATGCATTGGACGTTCTGGATCCTCAGGCATGATTCCGATGGTGAGAAACGAGCTGGGCTTTGGCTCAGTCCAAGAGATTCCCAGAGCCCCGTCGTCGAGGTCTGCAGCATTGGAGTTGAAAACAACACGCAAAAAGAGCTCTGCATCACGAGCAGAATGGCAAATGGGGCCTGCGGTCGGGGCGACACCAACCATTCCTGGCCGAGCCGCCGATGTCTGACCACCATATGGCACACGCCCAACAGTGGGCTTAAATCCCACAAGACCACAGCATAGTGCAGGGATCCGAATGGAGCCTGCGATGTCGGTACCAACCCCAAGGGGAGATCCGCGCAAAGCGACAAGGCAGCCTTCACCGCCGCTGCTACCACCTGCGGTGATGTCTTTGCCGTATGGATTGAGGACTCGACCAAACACATTATTGTGAGAGTCGGCTGTCATCATGGTCTGCGGGATATTGGTCTTGACATACAAGACAGCGCCAGCCGCGAGTAGAACCTCAACTAGAGCCGAATTCTTCGTAGATACGGGGCGGTCTAAGAAGGAGACGAAGCCCAAGGTCGTTGGTACCCCAGTCACGCTGAATGATTCCTTGATGCTGATGGGCAGGCCATGAAAAGGCCCGACGGTCTTTCCGGTCCTTTCCAGGTACTCATCCAACTCCTGTGCACGTTGCAGGGCAACATCAAAGAAAGTCTCTGTCAGGCAGGAGGTCAACTGCTGTGCGATTGCAGCCCGCTTGGCAAAGGCGGTTGTCACCTCAAGAGAACTGTACTCCCTGGAAGCCAGTTTCCGGACGAGGTCAGTGGCATCATGATCCCCGGTGATAGCAATTTCACGCTCACTTAGTATTCCTGAGTTTCGGGGGATATCAAAGGGCGAGTGGCCTTTTTCAAGGATAGACATGGGAATCTGCCACTCCTTGGGGATTTTGGCTGCAGCCTCGGACCGCTTGGCCTCGGCTTTCTGTTGCCAGTCAGGGATCGTCATTTGGAAGTCCGAAAGGGTGGATGGAGAAGCGATGTAGTAAAGTGGTGAAGTTGTAAAAAGTAAAGAAGAACGAGATTGGTTCGAAGTGGAGGATGGATCAAACGAAGCGTGGATGTTATGAGTGCCCTGGCCTTTTCCCCTTCACCCTTGGGGGTTTATATAGACCTCTATCAGGCGGGCATATTAACCCCCGCAACAAGATCTATGTCATTCGAATCCGAGAAAAGAATAAAATCGCATAATCGCGTTCTTCTGTGGTTCGATAGGCTTGACTTCGTATAGTTCCACCGTGGGTCGCCCACCAATCAGCGACTTTTGCGCGCTGTGCCAGTGGAGATCCGAGGCTACAAAAGCCTCATTGTGCCCTTGTGGAGTCTTGTTATCCCCTTCCATTGGATCGCGACGAACTACTCGGTGTATAAGTTTATATTCGGCTTGTCTCAATAATCACTGACTGTAATAGCCGGTTCTAATATGCAAAACCTCACGATAAACGGCATATATTCTATACGCTATACCGATGGCCCTAATCAACCCTACTACCGGCCTACTACCAGCTCACTTGCACTTCCATGCAACCTAACAACAAATATTCCCGGAACTTTCCTATTCCAAGAAGATTATTTTTGAGAAATATTCAGCAGGTGTTGAGCATGTCAGTCAGCGCAACCTTCTCGGCAGAAGTGATAGTGAGCTTATAAACTGATTTCACCTTCACCCACATCTTAGCATACGTGCAGTGATAGGATGCTGTTTTAAAGTCAGCGGCTTAGATGGAAATATTATACAGGACTTCCCACGTACTGAGTGAAGGCTTCCAAACTTCCGGTCCATCATCACTCTTCTGGGAGTTCACGCTATCGGTGACTGCCAGAAGCTGGGGATTCACCAGGTCGTTTGCAAAGGCTGTACGATCTGCCGTGGTCCAACTAGACGCTCCAAACTATGCGTAGGTGTTAGTTTTCACTTCAGAAGTTGTAAGTGGGACCTGAATTACCTTCCACGCATTTGACAGTGGCACGAGATGGTCGATATCGACATCGCTCGCTGCTGTCCAAGTTGCGCCGTCATACGGCGAATACCACGAGCCACTAGTGGCAGCACAGCTGGAGCTTGTTACCACGTTCACTCCATCACGCTTAAGTACACTTTCGCGTGTGGTACAGCTACTGGAGTCGTGAGATGCAGGTATCAGAGCCATATGGAATGTATGTACTTACCCATTTGTAGTGATCCAGTGCGGGAATTTGTCGCGATCATAGCCGTCTTGTGATCCTTGAGCGGCAACGGTCAACCCCGCTAGCTCGCTCTTGGCTGTAGATGAAGAGGGGATTCCTGGCGGTGATGGCGCAGGCTCAGGGACTGGTACTGCTGTGCTCAGCAGCGGCTGAAGGGCAAAAGCCACAACCCAAACCGGGGAGATAATCATTGCGAAGTTAGAAGACTTGCTGGATGATTTTGAACTGGAATGCCTTTCACAATACAAGGCTGAATTGGAATGCGTAATGGGATGAACAACCCAAGAATGTGCAATGATATCCGCAAGATCGCATGGGAATCCCCTGACTCAACTTTATACATGCCCTCTGCCGTAGCCTTTGGGCCCCCAAACCCCCTCACTCGAGAGCACAGCAGATAACCTGGACCGCGTTGAAACATCAGCGCAGTCCGAGTCTTGGCCCGGTGCTTGGCGTTGCACGTTGGGAGACCATTGGCCTATCACTGCACACTTCACGGAATGTATCTGCGAAGAGACACACTGGAAGAGACACACTAGGCGCCCTCAAATCTCCTGCTGCATACCACCTGCGCCGGAGCAGAGTCCTAGGTGGTCAGATAAAGCAGGCTATCTAAATAAAAGGGGCTTTATAGGGAAATGATCGTCCAGCTGAAGATTGTCAACGGAACCTCGGCAGTGAAATACAACAACTTAATGCACAGAGCGTTCTATGTCAAACAATATGTAAATATGTACATCTAGTTCACAGCAAGCCCCGAGCAAATTGCCATGGGAGCAATACTTTCACGCCCAACGTCTTCGCTGCAGTCAACACCCATTCGGGCTCTCGCAAGAACTGACGAGCCATTAATACAGCATCAGCTTTGGGATCTTGACCGGACAATATTTGTTCGTTTGCCTGCGCTTCTTGTTCCGCCCCCTGCACAATGTTACGGGCAGACTCTGCTTCGGTAATGAAACCGACGGCTCCAACCAAGGTCTTTTGATTAGCAGCACGAATCTCGCGACGTATTTGACCAGCCAAATCAATCTGGTAATTCGAATGAGGTTCAATCCGTTGATCTTTGTGGTTTCCACCGGAGCTGACGTCCAAGAAGTCAACTCCCAGATCGGGCAGCATCTTAGCTAGCTTGATTGATGAAGGCATGTCCCAACTTCCAGTCTGTGTCGCGACAGCTTCTTTCTCCAGCCAATCGGTGCCACTGATACGGAGGAGCAACGGCATTCCAGTAGGAATTACAGCACGAATTGCAGTGGTCACTTCCGCGACGATTCGGATGCGATTCTCAAAGCTGCCTCCATACTTGTCGGTTCGTCGATTGGTAACGGGGCTCAGGAATTGGTGGATCAGGTAACCATGCGCACCATGAATTTCAATAACATCTACACCGGCTTTAACAGCGAGTTCCGCGCTTCGAGCAAAGGCTTGAACCAGCTCCTCGACCTCGGCAGTAGATATCTCACGGGGGGGCCAGAATTGATCACCGGGCGCCCAGATGTGCTCCTCACCACCGGAGGGGCCAACCACATTGGACGGCCAGCCTCCGACGCTTTCATCGGCTTTGATTCCACGCTTCTTAGCTTGAGATGCCAGCCAAGGGGAGACTGTGCTTGCTTTGCGGCCAGCATGAGCCAGCTGGATGCCAATTTTGGCGCCTTGGCTGTGAGCGAAATCCACTATACGGCGAAGTCCCTTGAATTGCTCAGAGTCGGTCCCTTCCTGCCAGAGGCCAGAATCGTTGGGCGATATACGGCCATTGGCTTGTACAGCTGTGGCTTCGATAATGATCAAGCCGACACCCTTGACGGCAAAATGGCCAAGGTGAGCAACATGGAAGTCTGTCAGAGCGCCCACAGCGGGCGAAGATGGATCCGACTCTGCAGAGTAGGTACACATAGGCGCCACAATCACACGGTTCTTGAGTGTCACATCTCGAATACGCAATGGGCGGAACAATGTCGGTGTGTTGGGGTCTTCAGGGTTGAAGGCTCCTCCCGCATTGTTGGCGGGGGTGAAGTACGGAAGGCCCTGAGCCTTCACAATCGGCGGAGAACGAAATGCATGAGAACCCATGGTGTGAATACCGTCTTTTCCGATACTGACAATATTTGAGGGCAGGGGGAAAAGTGACTTTTATAAATAAGGGCCAGTTAATAATCGATGTGCTGACAAATTGTCACATTTCCCCACTACCAACAATGCCGGAGAGAATGCCGAACAGCCGGATGTCGGGATGAAAATCAAGTCGATGGCACGAATCCTATTGTGTAGGGCATCTGTGCCGCCCATTATCCAATAATTGACAGAACGGTTCAATCAGGCAGGGGTAATTGAGGGCTCTTCCAATGAGTGCGCAGTATCTCAGATAGCCGTCTCATCGTGCCGTTGTTAGTTGCTTCGGAAAAGGCCAGGATTTGAGCCATGAGGCACTCCCGATCTGTAGGCTGCTGCAGGCTAATTCCTAGCACATAAAATGGCCAACAATAGTATTCGGCAAAGTAGTCGATATCTGGCTGCAGCTGCTTTACAGCGTCCATTCCTTCTTGAATTAGCTGGCCGATGGTTGAGTGAGCTCTCCTGTTGTTACTCCAGGCCATACGCTGGAGCAGGATCCGACAGCCCACAAGGTACAGCTGGGGCCCGATCACAGCGGTTTTGCTTTTCTGTACCATTTGATGCCAGGATCCCAGGTCACATTTCTCAAGGTTGTCCTCCATGCCGTCGAGCTCACAGGCATTCGGCGCTGCTGTTGATTGATCCCACTGCGGGAGATCGTTTTCGAGCTTTTGAAAAACATCATGATCTATCCGGTTGCGAGCACTATCTTGATAGAGGCGATAAATAGTATATATGCACCGAAAGAGTTGGGGTGGAGCCCCAAGCACTGGGGAGTCTGGATAACACGGAAAGGGAGCATTGAAATGCCGTCCAAGATTATCCTCTGCTGATGCCAAGGCTAGATCAACCTCGCCCGGGTACACGATATGATACTGGAAGGGAAGGCTGGTTGCAACATGGAAGATAAAGGCTTCATAGACGAGACGGTGCATGGCTTGTTCGATCTCCGAGCTATCATGGTTTATTTTGCAATAACTAGACGCAAGCTGGATTAACTGAGCTGCACCAGTCAGATGGACTTCGACCCCTGTTGAGCCTCGTGGTTTTGATCTCTGTATTGCTAGGTGAGCGGTTGGTTACCTTCTTAGGGTGCTGGAAAGGCTAGATTCACCTCATATATGCAAAGCATAAGCACTGTATGCATGGTTACCAGCCATTGGTTCTTAATGGTTTCCCTCTCCAGGTCGTTCCGGAGCTCTTTGACAGCCTGGGTATAATGAAATTTTGCCAAATTTCGAAACCGAGGCGTTTTTGTAGGAATCTCCGCCCCGCAACATGCAAGGAGTGCGTGCATGCAAGCCGGTGCCTTCATTGCCATAACTAACGACTCCCTAGTAAATAAATCAATGACGCGACAAGTAGCAGCGGGCCGAATAAGTTGCGGGAGAAATCGTGCCCTGAGGAAGTCGAACAGAAGAGAACTGCCAGGCGTGATAGCAGAGGAATGTCCAAAGGTGGCGAAGTATCTCTGCTCAGCACCGAGATCAACGGAGGCAGTTTGGAACAAAGACGATAATGCTTGCCATTGTGTAGAAGAGATCAAGTCAGAGACAGACAGCCCGGTTTTGGTGTCGGAGCGCGATGCTACCACATCCAGCTCGGTCTCAGTATCAGCTATGTTCGAGACCCGCGGTGTCTCTTCTGGAGACTCGTGACCACATGAATTGCCAGAAACACAAGGTCGCCGGTCGGACTGCCAGATGCATTCCAGCCTTTGCCTTGTGCAGTTGAGGCAGGTCCGCTGTGTTTCGTCGCATTTTTTCTTTCGCTTACGACCTTGGCAAATATCAGCACGGTGTTGCCAGCGATAATTTAGTGTACAAGCTTGAAACCCTGGGCCTATGTTTAGGGTAGTCTAGGCAATTATCGACTCACAAGTTAGACAGCCAGTCTTAGTGCGTAGATGAGCCGGTCGGCGGCGAGGGCGGCGATACGGCAGTAATGCATCTGACACCGCCGTAACCGACCCTTTTGATGCCGGCATTTTGATTGTTTTACATGAGGCTCTGTCTGAAGCCAAGAGAACATTTGAAGCGTCGAAGAACAGCCAAGCATGCATCACGTGTAGCGATGTTTCCCTTTTAGGAAGGTACTGCCGGGACTGCCCAAACTATACCAAAAAAAAACAGTTGATCTTATGCCATGGTTTTTAAGAGATATCGAGCTTTTGTAGTTTCCTGCCTCAAAATTATAGCATTGAATTGTGATCTGGATGAGCTGACATCTATATGCCGACCTTGAGCGTGGCAGTTCTCAGTATGGACCGTCCCAATGATGATTTCCACTACGACAACCTATACAAACTGTCGCGATCTTTGCATAGCCTGGTCGAAAATAATTGACCCATTTCTGCCACTCCTTGGAATAAGGGGTAATGCTTTTCCTCAAAGGATGAATACAACCAGAGAATTGTCCCCGACATTGGGTTGCATAGCATCTGTTGAGATCCAAAATCCAAAAGTGTCCGCAGCCATATCGACTAGTGTGATCTAGAACATCTAGTCCGCACATCTATAGCATATTTAGCATCAATTTTCCTACTGCCAAACTGTCTGAATGTTTCATATACCTCGGATGGACATTCAATCTGAGTGGATTTACACACACGTGGAGCAATTTCAATATATTCAATAAGATACGTAAAGAACGTGTAGGACCCAAGATCTTTATATTTAGCTCCATAAACACAGAGAGCCTATCGTATGGATGATAGAGAGTAAGGGAAGCGCTTTGAAGAAGGCCAATCAGATTCCTTTGATAGGAGAAGTTCATTGAATAATTTGTTTCATCAGAGTCATCTAGCCAGGTCTCGGAGCAAGAGTCTCAAGACTTTCTATTCTCACTTTCTTCAAAGTTTAGAGACAACAGTACAATAGCGAGAACAAAGGAAGATAGGCGGCACAAGGGTTGTTCAATATGTTTGAATCTCCGAAAATTTGGAAGTAATTGACGGACGACGCTCAGGTATACCCAGTGTAGATCTGATTCAAAGGCATATATCCTTAAAGCGTCCAGAGACACGAGCGTAAGTGTCTCAGACGTTGGTGGCACGAAGAACTATTAAGATCGCCCAGCCAATCGCGTCACTTTTTGCCGTATCATGTTCATCTTTGCACAGCATCTCAACTTCTCCCTTCAACGTCAAGTTGAGCCATTCTGACTCAAACGCTGCTATTCACTTACTATGGGATCTACAGTGTTCACAAATGGGCGCATCCTTTGTCCTGGCTCTGGGGGGTTCAGCCCCACTATGGTCGTCAAGCAAGGCCATATTGTGCATGTTGGTTCCGGCAAGGACGAAGAGGTTCTCCAGGTCCGAAAAACAGGACCAATAGTCGATTTGGGCAATCGAGTCGTTCTCCCGGGTTTTATCGATGGGCATGTACACATTATGAACTTCGGGATGTCTCTGCAGAAACTGGACCTTTTGCCTTGCACATCACTCCACGATATTCGACAAACCATCGCTGTCTTTGCCGCCGCGCACAAATCTGATCCCCGCATTCTCTGCCGAGGTTGGATTCAGTCGATCACAGAAGGCAAGGTCTTCGCCACGGAACTCGACGATCTGGATCCACGACCCGTCTACATCGAAGCATTAGACCTTCACTCGACCTGGTGCAATACTGCAGCTCTGAAAGAGCTCCAAGTGCAATCCATGAGTAACCCACCAGGGGGGAAGATCCATCGCCATGAAAATGGCCATCCTTCCGGATTGCTTGATGAAGGTGCCCAGTTCAATATTGTCTGGCCCTTTTTAACCCGCGTGGCCACTTTGGAGAAGAAGCTAGCTGCTATTGACGCGGCCTTCGCTGCACATATATCAGCTGGATATACTGGCTTAGTCGACATGGCGATGAATGAGAATGACTGGGAAGCATTGAATATCTACCGGGATCGACATGGGGAGCTTCCATTACATGTGGCAGCACACTGGCTGGTACCCTACTCAGAGGATCATGCCGAAGTCTGCAGCCACATTGACCGTGCAATCTCTCTCCATCGTACATTCAATCGCTCGACGTCTCCCGCCTTTTGTATCAACGGAATAAAGCTCATCTGCGACGGAACAGTGGACGGCTGCACTGCAGGCCTACACCAGCCCTATGGCGGGCTTTCCAAAGTTGTTGATCCAATATGGCCTGCTGAGACCCTTGCGTCGGCGATTCACCGTGCTACTGACGCTGGTCTGCAATGTGCAATCCATGCCATTGGTGATCGAACAGTCCAACAAGCAATTGATTGTTTATCTCAAATTAGCGACCTTCCAATTCATCGTCATCGCATTGAGCATTTGGAGCTTACTACCCCGGAAGACGCCAAACGGCTTGGTGAACTTGGAATTGTCGCCTCGGTTCAGCCTGTCCATCTAGACCCTGCAACATTTGGCGCATGGCCAGAGATGCTCGGTCCACAACGCTGCAAGCGGGCTTTTGCCTACCGCGATTTTGTGGATGGTGGTGCCGCCTTGGTCTTCGGAACTGATGCTCCGACCGCAAAACATCTTGCATTGCCCAATCTTTACAACGCAACCACTCGACGGTCAGCCCTTGACCCTGACAGGGAGGATACTGTTAACATCGAGTATGCTGTGTCTCTTGCTACGGCGGTATCGGCAGCAACTACGGAGGCTGCCTATGCATCGTTCGCTGATTCCTGGACGGGAATATTAAGGCCAGGATTCCAAGCCAATTTTGTAGTCCTTGATATGGAATGGTCTCCGGGGAATCTTCTTGGAGCTCGTGTGTGTCAAACGTGGTACAAGGGGCAGAAGGTCTTTGATGCAGGGGACAACAAATGATCTGGTGGGCCCGTCTATTTGGATATCTTGAAGGGAGATTTTGAGATCCGAAGATATTCTGGTCCTACACTTGCTTTAAGGAGGGTGAGAAGCATGTACTGTCGTTATGTTCTGATTGCTTTTTTTGAAGTCTGCTACATAAGCGCTATACTTGAAAAACATCCGGACTCAAACCCTTGCTTCCTCAATGTGGACTGTGGTACCCACTCCCTTTCCATACTCTCCAATCTTTTCCATCTCCAGGTTCGTAGCTGTAGCAACATCATCTCCATCAAACACCTTAGTCACTTCTTCCAGGGGCATATAGCGTGTCTCCACGTAGAAGAACCAGATGACCACAATTTCCACAGCGAGGAAGCAGCAGTAGAAAATATAATACCGCCAGTGGATGTTGTCGAGTGCAATTGGGTTGACATATTGATTGAAAAATAGTGCAACATACATGGCAAACTCCATGATGGTGTACCCCTTGGCCCGCATAGAATACGGAAGAATCTCTGTCGTATAACTCGCGATCAAGCCAGATCTAGATTGGTTAGAAATATCACTCGAGATTTAACTTGTTGAACTCACTTCAGGTTGTAGAACAGATAGTAGATGAAAATCATCCCTAAAACGCCCGACCCCAGGCCCGAGCTGGCGTGGGCATCATATCGTGCCGACAAGGCCGTCCATACCACAAAGGCAACCAGCATACCAGCTGAGCTGACTAGCATAATTGGCCGTCGTCCCCACTTGTCGACAAAGAAACTAAAGAATAGGTTGGTGGCAAGATTGAAAGAGGTCAACGCGCCGTTGATCAGCAGCTGCCGGTTGGCATCCTTGATTCCAATGCTATCCATAATGAGATTCAAGTAATAGGAGACCAATCCATTCCCCGACCACTGGGCAAATAAGCCCATAGTAATAATGATCAATAGTCGCTTTCGATTACCAGGAGTTCGGAGAAAATCCACGTATGAACTGGAATGATCCGCATTCTTTTCCATTGCAATCGCAGTGGTGATTTCAGTGAACTCCAACTGAACAATTTCGTCGGTCGAGTCTCCATCAGCATGATAGTATGCCAAAATCTCTAAGGCTTTTTCTGGCTGATCCTTGGAGACATAGTAGCGCGGACTCTCAGGAATCCACCATACCACTGCCAGCATCATTAAAGTAAACAACCCTTGGATTAAACTGGGGGCCCTCCATGACCATTCACTCTACTCACGCATTAGCGAGGACATTTTCATTATGTTTCAAGGCTAACTCACTTTGATTTTCAATGTTCCATATGTCGTCCAGGCCGCGATGAAGGCCCCGGAATGATAAGTGGCGCCAGCAATAGTGACGAGAATTGCCCTATCTTGCGCAGGAGCAATCTCGGTAATAAGTAGCGGCGCGGTACAGATAACGATGATGTCCCCAAATCCAAGTATGAATCGAGCGCCGACGAACATGGAAAAATTCATGGAGCCTGACTGCAAGGCCACGCCCAGCAACATGAAGAACGAACCGAAAACCAAGCAAATCTTTCGGCCAAAATGATCCAGTATATATGGCAGTATCAGAAGACCAGCCAAGGCACCAACGCTCATTACGCAATTGAATAAACCCAAGGTTGGTCCTTTGGGATGGTTGAAATAATCCTGCCAGTAGGAGAGGGTTTGTAGGCCATTCCTATTCCCCCAAATTAGAAGTGTCACTATGTCTTATCCCGGTTATAGACTTACATCATTGAGTTGTCAAATCCATTGGCTGTATTGGTGGCAATCAGAATCAAAATATAGAAATACAACACTCGCATATTACGTTGTTTCCACCATTTCACCCGTGGGAACAGTCTCCCTGCCAAGTAGAAATGGCCTTTGGGGGGTTTGACAGCCTCATATCCTTGAGCCATGTTGAATGAGTGCGGTCTCAGATAGCCTTTGAGGAACTGCAAGCCTGGTATGAATATATAGTGCCTCATGAGCTGGCTGCGGTTTCTTCTATATAGCCGGCCCAATCATCATTTGCTTTATTTCCCACAACAGACGAGGCAGTTTAGCCATACAGCAATCTATATACAGCTTCACCCACTAATATTAGCCTAATAGGATGATCAATTGCGGGGTGATGGCTGCAAGTTGCTCTTGTGATATTGTCGGAGTGCCACGCCGTGTCCCAACCGGCTAAATCCTTGCGCCACATAAATTGACACGAGCAATCCTGCCACCTTCAAAGGATTTCAGTCAAAGATAAAGATTTGCTAGCTCCAACTATGACTTCTACCGCTCATAATCCAATTATTCCAGGTTTCGCTCCAGATCCATCAATCTGCCTAATTGGTGGGACATACTTTCTGGTAAACTCCAGCTTCCACCTGTACCCCGGCCTGCCCATCTACAGTTCAGATGATCTGATATCATGGAAGCATATTGGTAATTCTTTTTTTCTAAAATGTTGTTTTTGTTGGTTAACTTGTCATAGGAAATGCCATCAACAGACCATCGCAAGTATCACTAGCCCGAGCGACGACCTTTCTCTCACCATGGGACGACGGAACAACAATGGTAGCTACGGGAGGACTGTATGCACCAACTATCCGACATAGTCAGGGCATCACCTATATTATCTGCACAAATGTCATCCATGGCCCTTCCAATATATCAGGTGATGAGCGAAGTGAACAGTTCATCATCCACACAGCAGACATTCGCTCAGGCAACTGGTCTGATCCTATTGTCTTTCCGTTTCCTGGCATTGACCCATCTTTGCTTTTTGATGACGACGGCCGGGTCTATGTTCAGTTATGCAAGACAGGGCCTCAGTTTCAGATCTACAATTTGGAGATCGACATTGCAACCGGGAATATGATCACGGAGCACACACTCATATGGGAAGGATGGAAAAAAGGATACACAGAGGGTCCGCATATCTATAAGAAGGACGGCTGGTACTACCTGTTATGTGCAGAGGGAGGAACATTTTCGTACCACATGTTGAGCATTGCACGATCAAGAAATATTTGGGGGCCATATGAGTCCTACGAGAACAATCCGCTGTACACGGCCCACAATACCACTCACTACGTTCAGAACACTGGACATGGAGATCTGTTCCAAGACAAGAGTGGACGCTGGTGGGTTGTGATGCTGGGAATCCGTAAGAGGGAAGGTCGATCCATCATGGGTCGGGAGAGTTTCCTTACGGCAGTGGATTGGCCTGACAATAGCTGGCCTACTATCGATCCTATTATAGCCGATAGTGATGTGGGAGCGACACCTAACGTGCCTCTGATCGGGACTTTGTCCTCTGCTCCGTGGGTCTATTTGAGGGATGCAAATCTCGATCGATACCAATTCCGAGGAAACATCATCATGTTGCAAGCAGCCTCGGTAGAACTTACCAGTGCAGAAGAATCAGTTACCTTTGTTGGCCAGCGACAACGAAAACTCAACGCTAGTGCGTCGGTCACCCTACATAGGCCACAAAGCTGTACACAGGTTCGAGCCGGTCTGGCTCTGTACAAAGATGAGCATCGTTTTCTGTCAATCGAATACGAATTTGATAGCCAGCAGGTCGTTTTCAGTGGACTGAACAAAGCAAAGTCTTTGTATTGGAAAGAGACACAAGGTCTTGAGGCTCAAGATACCTTATCCTTTAGAATTGACTACACTGAGACATCTTTGGAATTTTCCTTTCGTCGGGCTGAAATACCCTGGAGTTCTCTTTGCACGATTGATACGGCCCTCTTAACAGATTATGACTTCACTGGTCCTGTCATTGGAGTATTTGCTCTTGGAAATGACAACAAGGTGGAATTCAGCGACTTTGAAATTGATGTTTAGATTCCAGTACATGATATTTCTGGTACAAGATAGGCTATTTCAATATATGAAACAGGTATCATACTCATATGCTCCCAGGCTTGAGGCTCTGTAAGTCTTCTGAAGTCCAATCTGTAATCAGCATATGACCAGGCTCATGGGCAAAGACCAGGCCATCAATGTTGCTACTCGCTGCCTCAACTGCTATCTGAGGCGTCACTCCACATGCCTAAGACGAAGTCAGATGAGTGCATCAGTGGTACCAGGTTACTGAGACCTTACCCAAAACACGGGAACCTCGCCCTCTTCAAACCTCTGCGCCTCGCCAAAGTCCGGTTTATCCACATCACTGATGCCGAGTTCCTTTGCACCGTCCCATCCCCAGGCTACAGGTTCGCCGTGCGTGGACCGATACAACCGTGTGATCTCTCTGACTCTCTCGATCTGTTCCGGTCGATACGGTCGCATAGACACAATGTAATTGCCACCAGTGAAGACTCCTGCTGGCAGCAATGGGATGTTCGACCGATACATGGCAACGATTGTTCCAGTTTTCTGGTGACGCGGTGGCAAGCCAGCCGCCATCAGGGCATCTTCAAAGGAGAACGAACACCCGATTAAGAAGCCAACATGGTCATCTGTCCATGCATCAAGTAAGTCACAGCGACTGTCAATGTGTTTGCCGCTTGAATATACTCGATACCTGGGAAAGTCGGTCCGAATGTCGAAATCTTTCGACTTAATACATTGAGATGGCCGAATGCTCTTTGCGTCGCCAGGAACAGCTGTCACTCCCAGCAGTGGGCAGGGAACTGGGTTACGCAGACACAAGTCGTGAAAATCGGCGGCATACTTCGCAGGGAGCACCAACAGATTGGCCTGTAAGTAACCCGGAGCAACCCCGGCGGTATTGGTCAACTGGTTTCGACGACACAACAATCGCGCCTCTTGGGAGTCAGAAATTATACTCCCCATGATGAAAATTGCACAGTGAAAGTATCCGGAAACCCTCAACCTTTGTCTCCTTCATACCTCCACCTCGTTCGATAGCTCGGTTATAGCCTCGGGATCCACTTGCCGATGGTCTGGGGAAAGTCGGGGTTTATTCTCCACTCGTCAAAGCAGTAAAATACTCTTCTCTTATCGATGACCTTCCTGAAACAGTTAGGATCTGTGAGATTGGCCTGTGCAAGTGGAAATTTGCCTCCCTTCGGGTGATCAGTTACCTGAATGTGCATCTTATCATGGCTTCGTCGGCCCGATGACCCACACCCTGAGGGAAGAGATAGGAAACACTCCGCTTATACATGGAGTAACGTTATTGTTTAAACAACTAAGTTACTTCTATGCATGAGGTCCTCTATTCTGGTCAATCCTCACATACGAGTACTCGCATCTCATGTCGCCCGACCACAACATCCCTTTGGAGCAGAAGACCTCCATCCAAAAAGACCATGCCCCTGACTTAGCAGGCGACACGGCTGATGGCGAGGCATGCGATGTGGTTCTCGATCCAAAGAAAGAAACCAAACTACTGGCCAAGCTGGATGCGGCCTTTGTGCCAATCATCATGTTGACCTATTTGTCCTGCTTTCTAGATAGATCCAATATCGGTAAATATTGATCCCGCTCGGATGATTCTAGAGCTAATGAACTTCAAGGCAATGTGAAGGTTGCTCATATGCCCGAAGATATCAACGCCTCGGACAGCCAGTTTTCAACGGCCGTGTCCATCTTCTACGTGACCTACGTTGTTTTCGAGGCCCCGTGGGCAGTCTTGATGAAGAAACTGACGCCTCGGAACATCTTGACGGCGCTTTGTATTGTTTGGTCTTTGACTACAATTTTCACGGGTTTTATTGAGTCGGTAGGCTCGCTCTATGCGACTCGCCTCATCCTGGGTGCTTGTGAAGCGGGACTATTCCCCTGTCTCAATCTCTACTTGACCATGGTCTACCGCCGAGAAGAACAGGCTAAGCGTGTGTCTTACTTAATGAGTTGTGCTGCCATTTCAGGTGCCGTGGGTGGCCTTTTGGCCTATGGACTCTTACACATGGATGGCATTGGAGGCAAAGCTGGATGGAGGTATGTGCTCATTTGCCCTTCATGCAGACTTCGTTGGGACTAACACCGGTTTAAGATGGGTCTATATCATTGAAGGTCTTTTCAGTGCCTTGTGCGCTATTCTCATCTGGTTTGGCCTGCCCAACAACCCTGCTGAGGCCTACTTCCTCAACGAGGAGGAGAGGTGGATGATGCGTGTGCGCAACGAGCAACGCCGCAAATATATGGGAAGTGATCAGTTCAGCTGGGAAGAGATGCGCATCGCCTTGAGTGATCCGAAGCTCTTCTTCAGCGGTGTTATCCAGTTCTGTCAAGATATCCTGCTGTACGGATTCAGTACTTTTTTACCAACCATCTTGGGAGGAATGGGCTACAACTCTCTGATGAGCAATGTCTTGACCGTCCCAGTATACATCTGGGCCGCAATGATCTTTGTTGCAATCGCCTTCTGCTCCGATAGATACTCGAAATTTGCTTCAGTGAGTACTCCCTAACTCGCAGTGCAGCATCTGCTAAGTCTTCATAGTACATCTTCACAACCAACATCTTCGGCATCATCGGCTATATCCTGCTACTTACTGTCAAGAACACCGCCGTTCAATACTTCGCGACCTTCCTCATTGGAATTACCACCTACACAGCAGTTGGCCTTAACGTGGCTTGGCTGAATGTAAACATCGCCCCTCAGTATCGCCGTGCCTTGGAGATCGGCCTACAACAAACAATGGGCAACTGTGCCGGTATTGTTGCTGGTCAAGTCTATCGCAGCTCGCCATATGTGTTGGGAAATGCATTCTCCTTGGGATCGCTTGTTGTCTCACAGTTCGCCGTGACCGGATACGGACTGTACTTGAGGCGGGAGAACAAGATGAAAGAACAAATACTCTGCGGTGAAAGAGAGGACAGTCGACGAGTACAGACAGGCGATGGAGCTGTAGACTTCAAATATCTTTACTAGTCTGGTGGCAAGGGACAGTCTCCCAGCGATGACGCACAAGACTTCTTATCTATATATAATTGACCGTCAATTCATTCAGAGTGCTTTACACTTCTATCAAGCGATTCTCAGACTTCTTCTGCTTCCTGATCTGATCTCCCCAAACGTATCTCGACAAACGAAGCCACACACTCCGATCCCTGAACAACAACAACAATGGGTCTCTGTTTCTCCTTTCCACGGCGCCGGCGCTACCCAGCCATGGGCATGGGAGGTATGGGTGGTATGGGTGGCATGGGCATGGGCATGCCCCCTTCTCGTCGATATCACGGAGGTGGCAGGTACGGGGGATATGGGGGACATGGGGGATGGGGTGGCCCCCCGGGCGGTTATGGCTATGCCTCGGGATTCGGGGGGGCCCCGGGGCGCTTTGGGCATGGGGGACGATTTGGTGGAGGCCGGCGATGCTGAGCGATGGGTTCGTTCTCGGTGATACATCTTTCATAACATATTTCGTGTGGACAAGTCTTCACAATGGCTCTGAAGCCAAATCATGGACTTTTTTGCGGTCGGCGATGCCAATGTTCGATTGAGGCACTTTGGGCACTTTGCATGCATTTCTCTCTCACTCCCACCCAACCTTCATTTCGTTTCCGATAGTTCTTTTATATTCCTAATATGCTACGTAATCAGAAACAATCCTTCATCACACTTGACAACTCTTCACCGTAGTCAAACACGAATCCCCCGTTAGCCGTCGGCTGGTAAGGGCCTCCATCTGGCACAGGACCAGTTCCCATTCCCATGATCTGATCCTCAAGGTTTCCCACTGCTTCAAACCATTCCATAAGCTCCTGTGTCATCTGTGCACCGTCTAATGGAGTCTGGCTATGTGTGCTCACGGTCGGAGCCTGAGCGGGTGAAGGGTTCGCATTGTAGGGATCATTCGCTTCTGTGGCAGCGTGAACATCCAGTCGCTGCTTTTGCGCGCCCAGTCCCAGTTGAGGGCCAAGCTTGCGAAGACTTCGAATCGAATTCCACAGTCGGCGGGAGATGTATGATTGAGCTGAGAATCCCTTGACCAGCTCCAAGGCCCAGAAGAACTCCTCCTTACACGAACCACTGAATTGGGTTGGAGCCTGGGCCACTGCTAGGAAAAGAACTGCAAGGGCTGAGACTAGAAACCAGTTGAATGCAACTTGTTGCAACTGGTAGATATCAGAGGTTTCATTCAGGCGAGTGATGAAGCGAATTGTGTCTTTGGCAATTTCCACCACGGTCTCAGACTCAGCCGGATACCGTACAATATGTGCTGCAGTATGAAGAACAGGGCGATGAATGAGCATCCGTAGCTGGTTAGCACGAAGATAAAGCAAGGCACGGAGTCGCCGCAGGCTTCGTGAACCATTAGTGGCAGACGCGGATTCCGCGGAGCTTGGATGATCCAGTCGCAATGCGTCAGGGATAGCATGCACCCAGCTCAGAACTTGCCAGTCCAGATAGTTCATTTCGTCTTTTTTGATCTCGTTGGTATTGTTGAAAGCCGAAATAAACTTCCACACTTTGGCTGCGATGCGGCTATATCGAATCATGACGCGCAGGTAGGGAGTCTTCTCGGCGGGCTCTGGCAGCCATGGGTCAATATCTGTATCTTCCAGAGAGAATGGCATGCCGGTTCCAAAGCTCCAACGCATGTCCAGAATGTAGATAGACCAAAAGAGACGGAGGACGCGTTCCTTTCCCGCGGCCATAATAGCTGGTTGGTTAAGTGTCTCACGTCTGTGAAGACCTTTCTCTAGACACATGCGCTCGACGATACCAATGGTGCGCCACGCTAATGTTTCCTCGTCCATCTGGAAATAGAATATTGACTACCACAGTTAGTTTGCTGAAACCTCCGGTTATTGGAAATGACAAACCACAAGAGTCAAGAAGATGATACTCTTGATCTCAGGCGGACCCCAGACACAATTGTCTTGGACTTCTCGCACACTATCAAAGAGTGCAATAGCCTGCTCACTGCGACCACTAGCCTCTGCTGTCAAAGCACAAGCAAACACAAGGCGGAGAATATGGACATCTTCACTATCCACGCCATTTTTTCCATCGGGCTGAAGAGCCGTACTAAGGGCGCGATCCATTGGGCCGTACAGTAGATGCACCTGGTCCAAAAGCTCCGGGAGCTCCAACACTGGATACATGATACCCATTTCCTCTTCGTAGACTCTGCAAAGACGTAGCGCCTCCGTCTTAGGTAGTGTCCAGAGAGGATCCAGTACCTGGTGCGTAACGAGTTCCCTGGCTGGTGCTGATGGAGACGCCACCGGTGAGGGTTCCTGCGTCATATCAGCTTCGTCAAGAGCCTCGGCACGTTCAACAATCCCGCGCTGCTGCAAACTGGACTTGGCCAGGTCAAAGCTGAATGCCGAAGTTGTCGGGCCTTGAAATGTCGTCTCTCTGGCAGTGGATACACGCCGGAGTGACCTTTGGGTAGGCGCAAGTCCATAACTGCTTGTGGGAACGCCTCCAGTAGGAGAATGTTCGTTGCTGGCTATCGACCGAACACTAGCAGACAACAAGCTAATCTGGTCTTGCATGGCTTTCATTTGATCAAAAAGGCGCTCGAAATTTCTGTGGAGGTTAGTTACTGTCACTTCTCACAACCTCACGTGGGCATACTCTTGTTCATTCGGGCTGTCTCTCTGGGGATTCTCGACGTAAATGCATCCAATGTTCTGGCGTCCACAGCGCTGACATGGCGCCTCCCCATTGCATTTAATCTTGCGACGTTTGCATTCATTGCTTTGAGACTGTTAGTTGGTGGTTGTCAATTGCCATCTCCAAACTCACCAGGCTTTAGCAATGTACTTGCGGCGTTTCTTCCGCGGGCGGCCATCGTCCACTGAAGGAGGTTTGTCCCAGTCTAATTCAGACATATTGAAGTTCGAAGAAGAGATGCGAACAGTTGCAAAGGGAGAAAGTGTGGAGGTGGCAGATGCGGGGGATTCCGTCCTCGGGCTCCACAGACTTAAGAATGTGCCAAATCAAAGTTGAACGATTAGTGAATGGTTTAGAGTTGACTGCGTAGTAGAAAGAGATGGACAATGTAGCGTGGTTATTCGGCAATTATTCATTCTGTACAAGATGCTATGTGTATAGTAGTTTTGGCTTGGTCTTTACGGAATTGCAATTTATATTTGCATTTCCTTGGCGTCGTTACTATTTTGGAAGTATATACAAGGCCTCACCCAGAGGAAAAGGAACATTTCAAGCGACACCCTCTCATAGATCTTTGGTGCGCTCATCACTCTCTGCAATCCACTGCTCTAGCTTCGTAGGGTCGCGTGCCCTGAAGCCGACCTTGAATGGCTTGGGCTCAGTCGTCAGTGCAGTGGCAATGGCATTGCACTCGATGGCGTTCAAGATCGGCAAATCAGCAGCCTCCTTCGCCGGATGCATCTTGAAAGCAGTGATCAGACGGATAAAGGCAGTAAACAGCTCACGGTTGGCGAGATGGGAACCCGCACACATACGGGAGCCTGCGCCATATGCGTAGTGTGGAGTGCCCGAGCCCTCATTGAGTTCAAGATAACGCTCAGGAATGAATTTGTGAGCATCCTTGAAGTGGCCCTCGTCATAATCAGCAGCCCAGGCGTTCTAAGGAAGTTAGTACTATTTCAACAAAACACGAAGAAGTAGACAAACCATGAAGAAAGTAGTTCCAGCGGGGATAGTAGCGCCGTTCCACTGGATATCCTTGGTGCTCACTCGTGGCAGGCAGATAGGGATGACGGTCCAAAATCGGAGAATCTCCTTGACCAGAGCAGTCACGTAAGGGACCTTCTCCTCGATCAGACACTTCTCCCAAGCGTCACCGTCGGGGTAGACCTCCATGATCTCATCGTAGGCCTTTTTCTGAATCCGTTGACCGTCTTCTGATGCGAGATAGGCGATTCCCATAATCAAATTGCCCGGAACTGTATCAAGACCAGCCGACACCATAGTCAAACAGATCGACTTCACCTCAGCTGGACAGCAAATTAGTATAAATCCAAATGCACCACACCACATCTCAGATCGTTGTAACTCACCATCATTTAGCTTAGCTTCGGGGTCCTTGAGAATGTTACCAGTAATGCAGGGCTTGTCGGTACCCTTTGAAATACGGTCCTTGAGCATGTCAAGCAAATAGGTCAAGTACTTGTCACGACGAGCACGGAAGCTTTGAGCCTCATTGTTCATCTTAGGGAAGATTCGCAACAAGGGGATGTAATCCTGCCAGTTGTTCGAAGTACTGCGGAAGTTGGACACGCCACGCTCCACCTCCACAATCTCGTGCAGCAACTCGTCATCCACATTACCCTCAATGCGGAATCCGTAGTTGAGAGTCAGACTGGTATTGAGGGCAAACCGTTGGAAGTATGCAGTGGGGTTCACATCAACTGTGCCATTCTTGCTATCCCGGTACAATTCCTTGATACTGGAGTTGGATTCGAGGTCAATGATCGGCATGTATGACTGCGTCGCCGGTCGGTTGAGCGCAGTGGCCGCAGCCTTGCGGCGGCGCTTGCAAGACTCATCCCATGGAGAAGTACCAATGGTAAAGCCCTGCGAGCTCGACACAACGCTGTGGAAGGTGTGGAAAGTGGGGCGAGAGACCAACGCCGACTGGTCCTTGATCCACAGCTGGCGAACCGAGTCGAAGCTGTTGGCGAAGACAATACGCTAATGCACGAATGAGTTGTGTCCCACGCATGACAGCGAAGCACCCACCTTGTTTCCCATGCGCACTTGGAAGACCGGGCCAAACTTCTTGGCCCATTTCCCAGCCACTGTTGCATGCTGGGTTCCCAGCTGTAGGAGGTTGCCAAAGATGGGCACACCAGGAATCTCCGGAAGGCCCTTGATCTTGGGGATATCGGTGCGGTTGAAATAGCGAATAAGGAAGTACACCACCGTAATGACGGCGACCGCCAGTGTTTGGACCGTCATGATGAAGAGAATATGTGAAGTAGTAGAGTTTCAGGTCAAGTGTGCGCGATGCAACTCTTATAACCCCTCTAAGGGCGATCGGTTACACGACGGCATATTTCCGAGCTTGTAGCTCGGGTGGCTATTACCGGAGAAGAAGCTCGGTGACGTTGGCCTCGACCAGTGAGGATGCAGAGAATCAGCAAACAACAGCGCAGATGTCACTGCAGTCCGGGGGCCGAGATACTCCACTCGGCGGGAATGGCGGAAGGGCCATTCCGCCCCGCTTCGACCCACGCGCGGAATGTTGAGACTTATTTCCGTCGTCTCTCAGCTGGTTTGGGATAGTCTGGATAGTTTGAAGTATAGGTATTTTGGAATTGTTCACTCTTGACTGTTCCCCATGTCCTAACCTTGGAACACCTCATGCACCTATCGTGCTGAACAGCCGTTTCTCTTTGACGGGCGCAGGGGGATCTGAAAAACAACCCATCGAACGATTGACCTCCAGCTCCTCAACAATCTCATTCTCCGCGATCCCCCGTCGTCTCTTCCAATTGCGCTCGGTATTGGTGATATGCGCTTCACGCCACATACGGCCATAGAATGCCCGAGCCTCGTCTTTCGTTCTGACACGTAGAATATCGTACGTACTGGCTCTCGTCAGTGCCGCATCCCGATCGCGAGTCATCTGTCCCTCAACCACCTCCAAGTTGACTCCCATCGAGCGGAATTGCCCACCCCACATACCATCTTCGGCTTGGGTCACGAAGATTGTAATTCGCTCAGGGGAGATAGGGTAAGCAAGGAGATACGCGAGCGCTTCAGCGTCCACACCGCTTGGAAGAGGGCCAATAACGAAGTCATGATCACGCTGGATCGCATCATTAATCTTGGTCACGTAGTGAGTGTGAAAGTAGGATCCATCGGGTCCAGTGTCGATTGGACCTGAGATGAAGGCGATCTGTCTGTCTTCCATTGTAGACAAAGGAACAATCACAGTTGAGAGAAGGTGAAATATGGACCCAGCACTATACCGCATTAGGAAGTTCATTCTGGCCACTTGAGCTTAATTGTGTTCAAGTATTGCTGCATGGACCTGGTATAAGGCTGGTCTGAGCTTGGAAGTGTCCTTGTGCCTTGTCTCTTAGAGAGTCCCTCCCAGGGGACACACACATATATATCTTTGGAGGTTTACATCTTGATATCTACAAGAGCACAAACCTGCACATACTGACTACATTGCAAAAGATAACTTATATTGTTTATACTATATACTCACTACCTAAACAACTAATAGCTCGATAACTAGATACGTTAAATACAGACAAATTATGCCTGACCCGTAAGGCCGGTGAATGCCTCAATGCCAAGGTGTCGGCACGCGGTAACTCAGCGCAAATCTCTGGAGCTTTCATCTACAAACAACCATGTCTTCTCAGCCTTTTCTTCCCCTGTCTTCTCCTTCCGACTCGCCCCCGCCCGTGTTGCGCCCGCGGCGCCCGAGCCTGGAGCTTGAGCGCGAAATCCTCTCCACTAGGGGCCAGCGCCTGGTGAACTTTTTGCCTACGCGCACGTCAAGCCTTGCTTTGCATGACCTCGATGACGATGTATCCGAAAGGCGGCTACTCCTGCGACGTGGATCCATGTTGATTGGACACAGTAATCCTCGTTACGAATGGTAGTGTTCTTCGATTCTGTGACGCGATCAGTCCTAATTCGGCATAGGCAGCGCTACTATAGATCGCCCGAGTCGTTAAAGGATCTCCCCAAGAAGATGTTTGTCCCCGTGTGCTATTGTTGAACTGGTACTGACCATTGAAGTCGGGAGTATTATAAGCGGACGAACTCTTTGATCTCCCAATATCTCTATATCGACCGCCTGCTGGATTCATCTCTCCCCCACAATCTGATCGAAGAATACAATGGGTGTCACCACTTTGATCCCGCGGGAAACGGAATCCATCAACCGCCTCCTTCAGACGGTAATGAAGTCGAGACAGCCAACCCCAAGACCGGAAGGATAAAGCGCACCCCACATAATCTGTATCGGATTCCCGATGAGACGACTCCTTTGGTCGCATCCGAAGACAACAGCTACGAAGGCTCATTGCCTGATTTTGAATCACATGGAGGGATGTCGCCAGAGGCCGAGGAGCGCGTCATCAACTGGGCTATTCGCATCAATTTCGCCGCTAACGTTACTCTCCTCGGCTCCAAGATTGCCATTTTGGCAATGACCAGCTCCATGTCTATGCTGGCAGGTCTTGTTGACGGAGTATTGGATTTCCTCAGTACTGTCATTGTCTGGGTGACCACCAACATGATCCGACGACAAGATCGCAACCGATTTCCGATCACCCGGCGACGCCTGGAGCCTGTCAGTGTGCTCATCTTCTCGGTGATCATGGTGACCTCCTTCTTTCAAGTGGGACTGTCGTCTGTGAAGCAACTACTTGGAGATGATCGCACCGTCGTCGAGCTCTCAATTCCATCTCTTGTGCTGATGGCTGGCACCGTGATTGTCAAATTGCTCTGTTGGATCTGGTGTCGCTTGATCCCTAGTCCCAGTGTCCAGGTCCTGGCCCAGGACGCCATGACAGATGTCATCTTCAACACCTTTAGTATTATCTTCCCGCTGAGTAAGTCTACTGTTCTCTCTACCCATGGATGCAACAAACATCTAACACAATTTCCACAGTTGGCACCTTTGCAGACCTCTGGTTCTTGGATCCCCTGGGTGGTCTGTTCCTCTCCATCTACATCATGTGGAATTGGGGCCAAACAGCAGGGGAATATATCGGACGATTGACCGGCGCAGCTGCCTCGCCTGACGACCACAGCATACTGCTCTACATGACGATGCGGTTCTCCCGGGTAATCCTCAAGATTCAGGACCTGAAAGCGTACTATGCAAGCGACAAGCTCAATGTCGAGGTTGATCTTGTCGTGGACGACAGCATGAGCTTGCGGGATAGTCATGATGTCGGCGAAAGCTTGCAGTACATCATTGAGAGTGTGCCGACTGTTGATCGTGCTTTCGTGCATCTGGACTATGACCCTTGGAACCTGCCTAGTCATATGAACCAGATGGATCGCTGACGTGGGTTTGACTGGCATGCGAAGCCAGTGTACATACAATGGTTCCTTATTACGGCACCGAATTCATAGTTGTACATAGTTTACAAAATAGAGCACAATTTAATCACACATAAATCATTCATCTAGTTATACATATGAACCATGATCAAATGAGAATCCTCACTGGCAAGACGACAGGACGCTAGACAACAAAAAGGTAAAAAGACAGAAACGTAATGTACAACCGATCACATGACGGGTTTCACACAGCACATCCATAATCAAACAGGAACCTCTAACGAGGCGGTTGCGAATGCGGTGGCAACGACCCCGGTAGTCCGCCTTGGGTTGAGCTATGGCTGTAAACACGGTGATGTGTGGGGGTAGAAGCAGCCTCACCGAGGGAGCCCGGCGCTCCAGGCCGCTGATGATGTGGTGGGACAGGTCCCGACACAGATTGTGGGGGAGGGGCATAACCACCCATGGCACTTCCACCTATGGAGGGATGCATAGCAGATGGAGGAGTATACGAGCGTCCAAGGCTCGCCAGCGACGCCATTGATCGACTAGGCTGAGACTGAGGAGGTGGGGTGTTACGTCCATACTGTGAGGGACCACCGGGCAAGGTCACAGGAGTGGAGCGGTGGGACTGGGGCTGATGCGACCCACTGACCATGGTTTGTACATGCTGTTGATAGCTATGCGACTGGACTGGGTTTGGCGTGGACGCGGCTGAGTACGATGATTGCACTCCAGACTGGCGCGGATGAACACCATACAGACTAGCGGAAGACTGCGTAGGCGCAGGTGGTTCCTGTCGCGATCCATACGCCATAGAGGCACGTGGACCAGGTGATGTTGCTCGATAGGATGGGGGCTGAGAGGCCATCTCACGCGAGCCAGAGGCTCCAGGCGGCTGCGGCTGGGCAGAAGATGATTGAGAAAATACGTTAGGATAGGACGACCGCTGAGAGGCGGTTTGGGGTGGGGGAGTCGGTGCTGGCGATGGAGCCGAGAGATTGGTCAAAGGCACTGAAGACTGGCCAGGGGCTGAAGCATAAGATGCATAGGAACTCTGAGAAGCCAAAGGTGCCGCAGGACGGCTGCTCTGCTGCTGCACTGGTGGCGGTTGGGCTTGAGGCTGCGGAGGGGTTTGTTGCGCCCGCGGATCGAACCGGGCCATCCAGTCATTGTTTGCCGACGTGCCTGAGCCACTCTGAGGGGGGCCATATCCAGGGTACTCCGCATATCCGCGAGAGGATGGCTGATACTGGCTTTGCTGGGCGAAGCTAGAGGGCTTCTGCGGCATACCCGACATGACGGTGTCTTCATGGCGGGACGATGGGGTAGTCTGGTAAACAGGTCTTCCTGCTGCACTTGAGGCTGAAGCTGCGGCAGACGGAGCCTGCTCACTGGCAAATCGTTTGCGCGGCTGAGGCTCCTCGGGCTCATCGTTAAGAATACTCATGATGTTGGACCGTTTGGCGGGCACTTGGCGAGATGCATCAGGAGCAGGAGTGACACTCGGGCGAGGTGCATCTTTGACTGGCGACAAACCCGGGCGAGGCGACTGGGATAGTCCTTGACCTGCATACGAGTAATATGGTCTAGGAGCAAAGGGATCACGGTGAACGGACGCAACGTCAAGTTCAGGTCTAGGCAGTTGAGTGGGCGAGCCAGGCTGGGTCAAGCTGGGGTGACGCGAGTGAGCCGAGGAAAGAAGAGACGGCGGCTGCTGCGCAGACATGTAGCCTTGTGTAGACAAAGGTTCCATCCGAGCCATATCAGGTGGCATTGAGCCAGGAGGATGGCGTGAGGAAAGAGATAGATCCTGTGCACGGGACGTTGAATGAGGCAGGATCGAAGAGTCTCGTCTGTCCTCTGTGAAGTACCCAAGGCGTGGACCTTGCTGCAAACGATGAGCCTGGCCTGCGTTCTGTGCGCGGATTGCCCGAGTTGACTCTTCAATGAGAGTTGCAGTTGATGGCACTGGAGAAGCGGTGGAAGCTTGCGCAAGTGGTTGATAGCGAGCAGCATTGCGATCTTTCTCGGACGCTGGCCGCCCATGCGGGGCCATAGGCTGTGGCGAGAGGGCAAGAGGCTTGACCTTTGAGGAGAACCGGGATTCGTCCACTTCGGCCATGGGATCGCCATGAGGGGCGAGAGGGCGAGGAATGATAGAAGACGGAGTCGCCTCGTATCGTCGCTTGGGCGCAACACTCGGAATGGGAAGGGGCCCCGTAAGTTCACCGCGAACCTTCTTTTCCTCGGCCTCTGTGAGAATCAACTCGAAATCTTTGTGGCCACTGTCCAGGCGACGCTGGTAAAAGTTTTTGACCTGTAGTATTCGTGTTAGCTGGCCATTCAATAAGATATATCAAGAAACGAATGATTTCATATCATACCATCACCGTAGTTTTAGTCTTCATCCAACCCGAGATACCTTCGAAATCACGGCCAAAGTGTGCTAGCAAGGCAGGGAAATCACGCTGTTCTGGCACAGACCAATAGCTCGTCGGTTGCATGGACCCGTAGCCCGTCTCAGCCTGCTTGACTGCCATAGGAGGGTCGATCTCGGTAGACTCGAAGACATAGACGCCATCTTTTGCGCGTCCACGTCCTGCCCTACCTCGCGGCATTGCTGGAAGTGGTTCTTGAACCATACGTTCTCCTCCTCTTGCCTCTAGCCCCCATGGAATGTTGTCTGGAATCATTTCCATCTCGGTTCCAGGAAGAGGCGGGGGTAAGGTGTCCTGTGTGGCCAGGACCTGACCTTTCTGGTCGGGTTGCATGGTTTTCGCACGCCGGGCGCCGCGACTACCGCCTCCACCACGCCCACGTCGAGCAGGCGGTCTTTCGACTGGTTCAATATCCCGGCCAGCCTGGGCACGACGGCCGGCTGGTCCGCCCTCCACTTCGCCAGAATCACCAAATGTGGGAGCCGCAGCACGGCGTGGACGACCAGTGTCAGTGACAGCGGGAGGTGCTTCCTCACCGTCAAAGTCAGGCTTGACGACGCTCAAGTCAGCAATCAGGGCGTTGGATTTGGGCCGCTGGGCGCTGGCGCCCTTTCGAGGTCCCCCCTTGCGTTTACTCCAGCGTTTGTTGAGCTTAGCCTTGTACTTAATCTCTTCCTTGGTGAGGTAATAGTGAATGATACACTGCTGATAAGTGCGCCCAGGTAGAGATTCCGCGATTTTGCCCCATTTCTTGGGATATGCCATGAAGGCGTCTGTGAAAGTGATGTGCTCCTCCGGAGTAAAATCGTTGGGAGGTGGCAGGAATCCGAAAACATCCATGGCCCGGTTACACTCAATGATATTGTTGACATCTTTGTAGACGCAGGCTTTCTCCTCACGCGGCTCGAGCATGTCTGGGATGATTGCCTCACGTCCCAAATCAGGCCGAGCAGTAGCCATTTTAGTTCGTCGGCGTTCGAGCTCTTCTTGAGCCGAGATCTCAGAGGCTTTCAGCGCGTTGAGGAAATCGAGCTCGCTGTTTCCTTTGTAGCGTCGTCCTTCACGGCCTTCCGGGTTCGGTGCTGGGGTGGTTGGTACTGTAGAGACCGGTGGCGAGGCTGGCGCCGGGGTATCAGATTTCTTGTCCTTCAGACGGTCTAGCTCCCAGATGGCCAATCGCCAAGACTTGTAGTAAGACATGTACTCCTCCCGAAGAATTGCATTCTTCTTGAAAACTTCTTGCTGTGACTTGGAAAGTTCGTCAAGGAAGGTGTTCTTAAGGCGGTTCTGGATATCAATATTATCATGGTACACTTCCAAATCCGAAAGAGGAGTGGGAGGGCCGGAGTGTAAGAAGGGAAGACTGTCGATAGTAACTTCATCACTGGGTACCACAGGGGGGATGATAGTTTCAACAACCGGCTCCGGTTCACGCTCCAGTTCACGTTCAGGTTCACGCTCAGTCGGCGTTGGGGCGAAGGAGACCACCCGTTCACTGCTGAGAGGATGGGTTGTCTCTTCATCCTCCACTGATGGCACGGGTTCCACGGATTGCTGTACCGGTTTTTCCGCTGCTTCTTCTGCTGGCTGTTCCACTGACATTTCGTTGGCCAACATGCCAAGTAACTGGATTTTCAGCAGAAGAGATACAATCGTCGGGTCTTCCAGAGGAGAAGGAGGCAGTTCGGCTCGGAGTGACTCCATGTCCCTTTCGAAAATTCGTTTCCTTTCTTCGAGATATTCCTGGGTGAAGACATTCTCGCTATCTTCCTCGTCACTAGAACGTCCAAAGTCCGGCATCATGGCAGGCTCCTCTTCATTGCCGCCTTTCTCAGAGTGTTCGCTCAATTCACCGTCTTCCACATTGGAATCCAACTGAGGACTAAGGCGAATCGGGAGTTTCATTGAATCAGAAGCCGGAGACCGGGCTTTCTCATCTTCACGAGGAACAATTTCACCACTCTCTGGTTCATCTGCAACGGGAGACGGGGGTCTCCGGACGTCTCGAGTGTCTTTAACAACAGAAATAACAGCCTGACCATGATCGATAGGTTCCTGCTTCGGAGGCGCATTAGAAACAGATGGTGTCCGGGGGTAGCCAGGATGCATCCATGGCTTGCTGCCTTTTCCTCCGCGTGGTGATGGGGCCTGCCGTTGCAGTGCTCTAGGTCCAGTGGGGATAATGGAGGAGGGCACTCGAGGTGACACAGATGGTTCGCGGGATGCTGCGCGCGAAACCGGTGGCGGATGTCGTGTGGATGTGGGAGATGAGGTTAGGGAACTCGATCTGCGGACCCCGAAAGCCTCGTTTGGCGCAGAGACTGAGTTCGGCTTGGACATCGCGGCTGGGGCAGTGGGTGGTGACAAGTCGGATATACTTGGAGATGGTTTGGGCGCACGTGCAGGTCCTCCCTGTGGATTTGCGGGCTCCAACGGTATTTCAGGACGATTGCGAGGTTCAGAGAGAGTTGAGGTATCGCCTCTTTCCGCCTTGGGGCCGGTTGGGGGTTGAACCATCGGTCGTTGTACTTCATTCCGGTCCTTCCCTGTTGGTTGAGAGGG